AAAAAAAAAAAAAAAAAAAAAAAAAAAAAAAAAAAACCCTAGCAGACTGTACTTATTACTCAAAAGCAGAACTCCGAAACTCCAAAGCGCAGCATTCGCTCCGTATTCAACTGTTAACCAAAACAATCCGAAAGCTCGTCTCAACAAACGAACAAAAACAGGGAAAATAAAAGTAAAAATGCAACAAGATCGCGAACTCTTGAACGATTCGTAGGGATAAAAAAAAAAAGATAATCCAAGCGTCCATCTGTTAACACCTTTAGATTATATAGAAAAATGAAACACATAAAAGACATAAAATGCCGTGAGTATAGAGTCGTGGCTGTTTGTATACGAGACAAACCATACGTGTGTCATGTTCACATATTTGCTTATAATACTATAATATACACACGAAGCTCCGAGCCAAAGAGAAAGTTCTGCGTAGACAGAAAAAGTGTTTCACAATTAACGGTACTTGTGATCGTGCACATTTCATGATAAATCTTTCTTTAGTCTACACTCACGAAGTAAAGAAAAATTAAAACGATGAAGAAAATTAAAAAAAATATATATATATGAAAATCCCGACGCGTTACGCAAGTGGCTCTGATCATCGTGTATAAACTGATGATGCATCGAAAGAGCAAGGAAGAAAGAAAGAGAGAAATGGAGGCTGACGATGGCTGGCTGCTCACCTGAGATACTCATGATAGGATCGACGGGCACTGTTGTCTCGGCTTGGCAGCATCGAGCGGAGACGACCGAGAACCTTTTATTTATACTATTATTCGTAAAAATAATACTTAACACACTTTCTTTGATGTCTCAGTTCCAGTCTTTTACTCTTTAAATTTACTTTTTTTTTCTTTTTACATAATCGGTAACACGCGTTTGCGAGAATTCAAAGTGAAAACAAGGACATGGCTATTAAAGCTTGCCGATCGAAGAAATTACGTCCCGGAGAAAANTTTTCACATAAGTAGAAGTTTGTGCTGTATGAACCCACTATTTAACATAAAACACAGACACAAACACACACACACCAGACACAAACTCGCGTGTATTACATGTTGTAGGTATACGTGTTAAAATGTATACGCGTATACGTATCTTCGTACACACGAGTCATAAATTCATAAGTAATACACCGAAAATTCGCGTTTCATGTAATAATACCTTTTGTCATGCACCTATAAGGAACGTGTATATGAGTTTTATACCTATATGTAGGTTTAATACTTGTAATTGTTCCCTGGTTGCGAGCAGCGCAACAACTGTGCGGCAGAGTGTGCGCCTCGGATAAGTATTTTGTTAACCGACACTGCTGCTACGGGAGAGAGCACACGCGCCGTGCTGATGCGCTGCTCTGATGTTGACGCTACTGGGTCAGTGTCGTCAGTACGAGGCTTGGGGGAGGGTGGAGAGCCGTGGACATCATCCGATATCGCGCGCCGCCGCCATGCACTCACCTATTGGGTGCACGAGTCTGGTGGCGTCACCCAAGTCCCCCTTTTCGTGGTCGCATGCGCGTTCCAGCTAAATGTAGGACACACGACCGGATCAAGGGGTCTGGTGTTCATCCCTCATCCCTCAACACACGATTTGAGTTTTCAACCGAGCCATTTGGACCATTTTTTGGACCATTTTTTCTCAAAATTATCTTACTATAATGCCATTTAACAACTAAAAAAACTTTTTTGCAATTTGCAATCTTAAATTCTTACGATTGTCATCTTTGTAGGTACACAAATCTCGTATTTTTACAAGTACAAATGTATTGTTTCGAATGTAGCTAAATGTGTGCCTGATACAAGAAATCTCTGGCGCGAGCTTCGTTATACTCACAAGCATAGCCAATGATATTCGACAGAACCTTGATTTTCATAAATCACTCGATGCCAGAGTTCAAAGTTTTAAGCTTTGCAATAATTTGAATATTATTTGTTCACTTATGATAGAGAGAGAACGTCAATGAGACCGTGTTTAAAAATAAATACTATGACATATTGGCGTAGTAGTCGGCACATTATACTTATTACATGTATCGTCAATCACCTACTGCGTTGGAAGTAAAGCAGATCAAACTGTTTATGCGAAGTGGTTGATGATTTTCAAAATATTATTATTTTTTTACAAACAAAGAATTTTGCGAGCCCCATTCATCATTGCATTTTATCTAGCGAATAAATTTTAATAACTTGTTACGGCACACATTTATATCGAATAACATAGATGCAAGAATGTACCTTTTTGTAATTATAAGATACGAGGAAGTCGCCAAAACCTGCATTTCGGCCCTGAGCCCGCGTACCCCTGTGCGCCCTTGTTTCCAATTTAAATCATCTTTTTTTTCATTCGAAGCCGATCGATCATCTCTCTTTTGCTAACAAAATAAAATAATACTTTTTTTAGTCGTCACGGTCAACCGTATGTATGGTACGTATATATATATNTTCATTTATCATAAAAATACTTTTTAATTTATAATAATTATTTCAAATCTTATAAAAGTTAAGTGTGAATTGCTGTAATTTTTTTATCTTAACGTAAATTTGAATTTTAAAAAACTACTAAGTATGTTAAACTAGAAGGGTGATATTTCACCGAAACAATGTAAATTTTCGAATAATGTCCATTATATTTACACAATAATACGAATTTATTTTTATTTTCATACAAATGCATACGTTTGATCCTCTTTTTAAGTCGTATCATATAAGAGGTCCAAAACAATGTATAGTAAACTTTTTTTTTAATAACAAAAATTTTGAGCGATATCTTTTGAACATAGATAAAACAACGTCTGCTTGCATGTGTATATATATATATATATATACACATATATATATATATATATTTATCATGATGACAATGAAGATGAGGCATAATCGTCCAAAGTACACCGTATACTTGTGCAACTTGACTTATTTAACTGGCATTCACTTAGCGCGTTAAAGGGACAAGGTGAGGTAACTCAGGTAACAATATATGCATGTATCCATACAGTGTTCGCACGCGCTATCTCGCTCTCATTTTAACGTACACAATAAATTAAGCATGTGCATATTTGTGTTTACGTGACTGACGCTCTTTTCGAGACTGCTGTACATCATGAATACGCATGATGATGTCTAAGAATAAAAATTATTTTAAGGCTCTGAACCAGCTTGTATTTTCTTTGACTTGAATTAATTTTTTTTTTTTTTTTCCACTCTGAGTATCACCGGTCGAGTCAGAAAACTTTTTGGTAGATGAGAGCAAGCTCTCGTTTCGTGGATACATTGTAACAAAATACTCTGAAAAATTAATCATTTCATTTCTAATTTATAAAAATGTCAAACGATAACGGTTAGTCATCGGAAAAAGCATACGATGATGTACTACGTATTATTTTTCTCACGCCTGTCATCGGTTTCCAATGCCCATTTTGTCCCACACGTGCCTATTCATTGTTTAACCTATTCCAAATGCAAAAAACCGCGTGTGCGCAAATCCACACATAGGCTATCATCAACAAGAGAAAAATGGACGTTGTACTGCAGAAGCACCAAGCAAAGCCGGTCTGCGAAGTTCCCGACGGTCTTTGTGAACTCTGCGCCGACATATCACGTGAGGTCAGGCTTTACCTTTTTCAAATTACTGTCGGTACACCCTATTTGTTTTTGTTTTCTTTCTTCCTTCAATATGTTTTTCGCTCATACCTCAATCTACGATTTTATCGTTAACAACGAGAAAAATAGTGACAAAAGATGTGCTGTAGGTAACAGTGAAAATTGATATGAATAAAAGTTTCGCGCAGGTGATACGATACCAGCCTGACGATGCTTACTGCTTTATCGCCGATTACTTGGATGCTCTCCTGATTACTCGTGAAAACGCCAATAGTAAGCGCAAAAATGATTTATCAGTCATTCACTTGTATTACACATAAATAATGTTTCATTACGTAAAGTTGCCGTAAAGGTCGTGCGTAACGTCGTAATGAGAGGCGAACAGATAGCCGAAATTCTGGCAATGACCGGTCTCAAGTTGGAGGAAATCGCCGCAGCAATGCCACGACTACGAGTTATATACTTATTATGTCACAGATTATCACTTTATCGTAAGACACTTCTGCAACCGCATAATTTTTTTTATCATTAGAACGCTTTTAGAGAATACTTGGATGCCATCGAAGCACAAAATAAATCGTGCGGGTGTGACGGTAAGTTTTTATTAATCATCAAATTATAAGTAAGTCCGGTAATGGTGATGTGGGTTTCAAAACGACAACAGCCAGGGAGAAAAACACAAAATTAATAGCGTAAATTATGTGGGCGTTTCTTGGACAAAAAATATAACTAAAACAGGTTATTTTTGGAACAAAATATGAAATATCAGACATCGAGGCAGGCGAGCAGTGTGAGATGTCCATCTGCTGTATTTTACGAGGAATCGGAGTCTCTTATCAAAAAGCCCAGAGCGCAGCGATAAAGATACAAGTATGTGATTGCGAAAAGCCCTGCTTTATTTGATATACTGCTTAAAAATGATTTTAATCTTTCCTCGGTAATAAATTAGGCTGCATTCCGAGGTCACTACGAAAGGATGCTGCTGGCCGAAAAAAGGGGTGATATCTGTTGGCAGAGGGCCGCAGTCACCACCATTGAAATTTTGCGCAAAGCCGGGGTTTCGCGGAGCGAGGCTGTTCACGCTGCGACTGTTATTCAGGTCAGGTGTATCCAAATTTTGTCAATCGGCTTCGTGATTTTTATTTTTTATCTGCTTTTGGTCAATCATTCATTTTGATTACACTTTTTTCGCAACTCCATTAGTCGGTTTATCGAGGGTACTATACGAGACGGAATTTAAAGCTGAGAGAAGGTACGTGACTAGAATTATTTCTGTTATTCCGAAAATAATATGTCAGATAGCATTATGACTTAAAGAAATTCATAATTTTGAAATATCATGGGTACCTACATCTTCACAATACTTTAAAATCGTATACAGGATTCGATACACCGTGAAATTAAAATTTTTCTCAAATCGGACCCGCACCATTCAATTAAAGCGTAGTTTTTATCTTCTTTGGATAGTTCTTCTTTGCGGTTTCGATCAACAAATGTTGTATTTTTTGGGAATGAATTATTTTTTAAATGGTGACAAAGTTATAGGTCGAATGAACGTCCTTAAATGCAAATCAACAAAATACATGAGCATGTTACTCAATGACAGAGCGTCTGCGAGAAATGGGTATAGTGGAGGCAAAAGGAGCCATTGGAGGGGATTTGGATGCTTGGTTTTCGGCGCTGCTCGAAGAGACCGGTCTTACGCTCACACGTGCAAACGAAGCTGCGATAATTATCCAGGTGGCTATCATGAACGGCATTAAAATAAGACCCGAGCTATGGATGGCGAAATGTTGTCACGTATCGTCGATCCACGCCCCATTTTTGTTCTCGAAACCCAAAACCCGGTGACTCGTACGATATGCCCTCGGCTTTGTTCATATCTCCTTGTGACTCAGCGTGTTTTTCAAGACCGTTTTCAGGCAATACTGGAAACGGAAGCACGAGGAGCCTCGCAGCCTCTCCAAGAGCTTATCCAGCCCGAGCAAACTGACCGCGCTGAGCACAACGTCGACCGACATCGCGAGCAGCTCCCAGGCTTCGGCCCGAAAACGCACCGGACCTTCAGGCGTGGCGGAATCGTCCGAGGGTGATTAAAATTCTATATGCCCATCAACGGAGAAATTTTAGAAATGCCACGATATCGATTCTTTTTCCTTCCTTCGCGTGTAGACGACTACGACGGTAAAGTCAAGGAGTTGAGATTCCAATCCAACGTGCAGATTTCGATCATTGAGGCCGAAGGTGATCGTGATTACGCTCGAAACGACAGTGATGATGTGGTGGAGGAAGGGGACAACAAACCCGCGATCCCTCCCGATAGTGAAGACAGTAAGGGGGCCGTGGGAAAGACGGAAGAGAAAGTCGAGGTTCCTCTCGGCAGCTATGAAGAATCTCGGGAGGTCGAAAACGCCGGGGGGGTGGATGAGGAAGCGAAAGTATCGATAGCCGAATCCACGGATCAGGTTCGAGACACGGAAACGGAGGAAGGAAAAAGCCGAAACGAAACGCTCTCTGAATCCAAAGGAGAAGAAGATGAGCGTAAAGATTAGAGCGATGTCACGTAAATAAATGATTTACTCGCTTTCGTCGTAAAGCCGAAACGCAATACTTTGGGGTGTCGTTGTAACGTTATCTTTTTTTCGTCAATGGAGCTATTTTTAGTCGGCCAGACAGAAGTTCCCATTCGTTCGCACGCATTTCGACGCTTCATTTTATTTTAAATACACTGCCATGTTGTGCATCTTTATTTGTTTCCCCCCCCCCTCCTCAATGAAACACGTACACCAGACCAAATACCAAAAAATACCTTTATCTAAAAAAAAAAAAAAAGTCGTACAAGTTAGCTGCTATTATCCCCTGCCTCGAAATCATCATAACAACAGTAATATAAATCACGAGCCCCTAGAAAAGTTGAAGGCAAACGCGATCCCCTCAATACGAGTTCCCGTATCTTATCAGCCGCTTGCGGAACCTACGTCGACGGCCGTCATCCTCCTGACTGTCGCACCTCGCCGCGTGAGCCGTACCGTCGTTCCTTCTGCGCCCGGAATATTTTTCCTGAAGGATCGACAGCGAGTCCTTGTGCAGCAGGGCGCACGAGGCGCCCCTGTAGTCTTCGTCGTCATCGCCGCCGTTCTTGTTGTCGTCGTCGTAATCGTAGTCGTAACGGGGAACGTTCGTAAACACACCCGAGTCCGTGTCCCTGTGGTGCGACGAGATTCGACGCCGGCAAGTTGCGCAGCGTTTCGATCGTCGCTGGCGCCTCGACGACGGCTTGCAGCGCTCTCGGTCCTCTTGCCTGATGGTTAATGTTCGTGGAGGAGTAGACAATGTTTGCAGGTGCTTGAGTTACGGAGGTACCTGAAATCGTGCCAGCTGTAGCATCGCCGAGAACAGCAGCAGAGGGCGACGTGGTAGCAGCAGTGCCGATTGAAGTGCTGGCAGTGGGTGCAGTGTTGTTGTTGCTGTTGCTCGCAGCACGGACAGCTCGAAGAAGGAGGAACGGCCTCGTAAACGTAGTCCGAGGACGAGTGTCGGTTGTTCTTGGTCCTGTGTATGTTGTGTCGTCGCTGAGGCGGAGCTTCCCGGTGGTGCGACGCGAAACTTGCTGGTATTTCGTAGACGCGGGCTGGCTCGCTGTCGGAGTCTACTTTGTGTTCATGCGAGTTTAGAATTTGCAGTTTAGTATACAGTTATTTGAGACATGTCCAATTATTTGACTCCTCGGAGCTTTTTACTTTGGTTGTCGCACGCGGTCGCCTCGCTTTTCCAAAGTATGTTGTACTTATGGTTATTACTGTTGTACTCGACGTCGCCTTTGTCGAGCGTGTTGCGCGACTGGCTGAGGTGGAACGGTGACCGGCAAGCGCTAGATGCGGGTAATTTGATCGAGTGAGTTTTTGGATAAACAGGGGTGAACGCCGTTACCTGTGGGAGTCGTCGAATTCGTCCATCAGCCGTTGATCGCAAATATTCTCAAGCTCCTCTTTTGCTTCTAGAGCCGAGGCATCGTCTTGATCAAAATCATCGTCATCCTCATCGCCATTGGGCTCGGGACGATGGCGATCGGCCTCGTCCGAAATTTCGACGCCTTCGAGTGAATCAACGAGAGTCGCTTCCATTTGATCGGTAATCGTCGTTTCGTAACTCCGACCGTTCAGAGGAGGTTCTTCGGCATGTTTATTCTCCGCCGACGAATCTTCAAACTGTATTTATTCGTATTCGGTTTACAATCCATTGCGTCGGAAGGTATTCAAATTCAAGCAAAACAAAACGTACGTCCGTGCTGAGGTCGCTTTGCCTCGGAGCTGGCCCGTTCTTGGGAAATCGGCGACGGGCTTTCTGAAAAGCTTTTGACATCGCGCGACGCGAGCTCGGGGGCTCTACGTATTCTGATATTTTAAAATCCATTGAAATCGTCAAGTGTGTATATTGTGGCAAAGATTATTTGGTTAAACGACTTTACAAAGCTTTACGGGGGGGAAAAAAAAAAAAAGAAATTTTATGCAGCATGTGTGCGCTCGAGTGTTTTTGTTACGAGACTCAATTCAAATCGTTCGACTCGATTTGAATATGCCTCAGGCCAATTACCAAATGGTAAAGAATCATGGGAAAGGGATGTTATATCGTAAGATTTTTCTTTCAAGGAAATAATGAAAACATAATGATTTACTTGGTTTTATTTTTTTTTTTCTCTATCGAAATATAAAATACAATTCAATAACAAGATGATGATCAAAACATGTCTCGGTATTTTCTCTGGCGGTGTACCTCCGAAAAAACGCAACATTCAATACGTATTATAAGAAGATTTTCGAGTTTCCATTGGGCGTCGATTATTTTTTACTTGTTGTTGACGGATATTTTTTTTCGATAAAATTTGTTTGAACACCAAAGAGCATCTGTACCAACTGATTCGCCAAACTCGAAAGTCTTTAAACAGTGATTATCTACAGGTTTTTTTTCTCCAATTCTCGTAAATCAACAGAATCGCCACAAGCCATTATTCTCGATTATTTGTTACTCTTCAACATTACCTTCTCTCACTCAATGGCCGCAGAATAAATCTGCTTATCACTTATTTCAACGGTTAAGCCGTCGTATTTCTTTTATCTATGTACAAAAAATACAATAACACTAATAATAATATTAATAATAATCAATAAGCTGCTTGTTAAATACAAAATCAATCTACAAATGTTACAATTTACATTGTTTTCGCATAGTCACGCTCATCATTCAACACTTGGTGTTTGTATACACTCATTTGTAAAAAAGGGAAAATGATCAATTGTTTCGTTAGATTTTAGCTAAAGCATATCATTTTTTTCACAATATAAAGTCTTTTTTTATGCTACTGCCTGTCATAGCAATAAACACTAGCGATAACTCTTATGTATAATAATACATTGCAACTAGCGATTACTTATTGCATGAAAAATTACTTTTACAAAAACCTCTTTTTGGGGTCAAAATTACTGTATGTCAGCCTTTTTCTTTTAATAAATCGAACAAACAAAAAATTTTTAATCTTTAAAATAAGAAAGCAACTTTTGAAAAGTGCAGCAAACAAAAATATAATGAAAACGCACCAATTGATCCTTTACACGTCGCAGTTAACTTTCAAAAAACTAGTGCTTTATTGCATGTTTATTTAAATTATGCGTATATGTACAAATAGTTCCTATGAAAAATATTCGTTTTAAATAACTCATTCCTCCTTCGCACACTTTTTTTTCACTATCTTGAAAGTTTGTTACTTGAGCGGCAATTACGATTTATCGCCCGGGAACTAATTGACGCACCGTTTGCGATCTACTACCAAGTTAATATGTTTTTAACCATATTAGTGCAAAAGAAAACATGACTGTAAACTAGTCTGTAGATTTTTAGTTCAGCATTAATTTATAATATTATTACACGTATCTGCGGTTTCTCTTTATTCTATAAAGCTTTTTATCGTCACTTTTTTGGAAACTTACAAAGCAACAATGATTGAACATTTTATTTGGTGTTATTCCACCATTTTAGTATCATGAATTTAATTTTAATAATTCAAAAACGAGTCTTATTATATAAATTTTCAACTGCTAGGTTAAGTTCTCTTAATTTTATCAGACAAATTAATTTATACGTCTTCACTATCGAATACACGTAGTGTTATACAAGTTATATGCTTTACATTTCAAAGAACACTAAACGTTATTGATTGTATATAGAAAAGTAAAAATGTAACATCACATTTTTAACTTTTAAAACGTCGTAACGGGACACGTAATTGAACAATTTTTTTTTTTCTTTTTTATAAAAATTAATCTTTATATATGTACATACCTACAATAATTTAAGTTATATTATAAGTACAAAAACTGTATGAAAAAAAATCGAAAAATTTTAACGAGTCGCCAATGCATAAAAATACCTTAACTGATACTTAATAATATACATTGTTGCTCATTGTTTATTAAAATTTTTTTTTTCAAGTCTTGTTTTTAACATTTAGTATTCTTGTGCACAATAGGATATCTTCAATTCTCAATTATTCATACAAAAAATGCTTAGTACAAAAATAAGTAAAATTTTTATAGTAATAAATCTCGCTTTTGAATTATTTTTTTTATTTTGTTATTTCTGTTGTTTGTCTATAATTTAGCACAACTGATAAACAGTAATTCAATTAAGTAATCATTAAGTACTAAATATAGGGGAATAATCGGATTTAACGTGGTTTCAAAAGCAAAGTAAAGTAACTATTCTCAGAAAAAAAAATATTTGTACCCTCTTTCTAGTGACTAGCCGCTTGAGAAATTTATGAATTTTATTGTTTGTAAAAAATGACAAACAATAACGCCTCGTAGAATTTTTTTAAATTAGGAAAACAAAACTTTTTAAAAACAAAGTCATCAAATTTATTATTTTAAATATCATTCCATCATCTTTCATGAAAAAATATCCCGAGTAATATTTACAGATCTTAAAAATTAACCTACTTAAACTTATAATTAGTATGTAAACAAACAATTTTCATAACATGAAAACTGTAAAACTGGCAAAATCCGTCATTGAGTGGAAAAAATTTTCGACCTCAATTTTTTTGCAGAATTACATTCGGAACAGGCTTCTCAATGTAAAAGCGCAGATTACCAGTCGATAACCAGGTAAATAATTGTTTAAACTAATTTTTTATGAACAATTTTATCAAAGTTAATTTTTTGGATCTGAAAAAAATATTTTTAGATTCTTTGGCACGTTTGTAACAAAAAACCAATTGGTAGGTGTATACCTAAACCCCAGAGTTTTCGAGTAAAAAATTTCCAAAGTTTAAAAAAATGCCTTTTTTCGATTTTCAGAGCTCAACGAGAGTACTGAATAAACACTTTTTCACATGTTACAACACACTAACATTAACTATCAACCCTTCTCTACAATGTCCAAAAAAAAAAAAAAAAATGTCGAAAAATTGATTGGCAAGATTGTTTTTTGCAATAAACATTCAGGACGCGCACTGGTGCGAGTGTACACCCATGTATACGTGCGAACAATTCGTGGCTCAGGGCTCAGCGTATCGTAAACATACATAGGTATTCACTCACACGAGAGCGCGCGACGTCCTGAATGTTTATTGCAAAAAACAATCTTGCCAATCAATTTTTCGACATTTTTTTTTTTTTTTTTTGGACATTGTAGAGAAGGGTTGATAGTTAATGTTAGTGTGTTGTAACATGTGGAAATGTGTTTATTCAGTACTCTCGTTGAGCTCTGAAAATCGAAAAAAGGCATTTTTTTAAACTTTGGAAATTTTTTACTCGAAAACTCTGGGGTTTAGGTATACACCTACCAATTGGTTTTTTGTTACAAACGTGCCAAAGAATCTAAAAATATTTTTTTCAGATCCAAAAAATTAACTTTGATAAAATTGTTCATAAAAAATTAGTTTAAACAATTATTTACCTGGTTATCGACCGGTAATCTGCGCTTTTACATTGAGAAGCCTGTTCCGAATGTAATTCTGCAAAAAAATTGAGGTCGAAAATTTTTTCCACTCAATGACGAATTTTGCCAGGTCTAAACGCATCCTACCTGCATATTGATTCTGGCATCCCAAGAATAAGATGTTTTTATCTACAGTCTATAGTAGAGGGTGTCGAGTTATATCATGAGAAATGATGAATTTAGCACCTTGAACAACAAAACGACATGGTGCATAGCGACTAAGGTTGGCCATCTCGCACACTCGACAGTGGCGATGGTTCGCACACATCTGACCAGAATGTAGGGGACGTTGCCGTTGACCTAGTTCATCCAGGGTGGTGGCAATTGATTGTGCGCCAATGCTTGTCGATGATGATGGTGATGATGGTGTTGGTGCGGATGATGTGGTCTATAGTGATGCATAGGTGGTCCACGGGGATGATGATAGTGATGATGATGGTGTCGAGACTGTATGTAAGTAGGCGGTGATGGGGGGGGAGGGGGTGGATTGCAAATCGACTGAACGAGCGGCAAGGCCGCACTGACTGGTGGCTTCATCGAGCCATACGGTGGCGGAGGCAGCTGCGGTGGCATTGGATTGTACTCGAGCCCAGCGGCCGAGCTCACCGGATGCTCAGACAGTGCTCCCTGATTAGGTGGTGATCGACTCCCATCGACCCCTGAAAAAGTCATTAGAGGGTTTTTCCCACCCTGGTCATATTGAAGCTCTAATATTGCAAGATAATTACTCGGCAAGCTCGCTCAACCGAGGGTTCGTATAGGATAAATGTATCTTCTCGAAGTAAATTTTAATCAATTGAAGTGATTAAATTCACATGTTTAGAAGATTAATGAACGAGTACTTTTTATCATCAACTTCGTGATGTTCAACAAAGAAAGAAAATATTTGTAGAAAAGTATCATGACCGTAATTAGATTATTATGTGGTAACGAGTAAAGTTTAACATATGAATAATAAAAAAAAAATAAATAAATAAATAAAATAAAATAAATAAATGAAGAAACAAAAAAAGGTAAACAATAAAAAGTATGTTATAAGTACCTTCGAGCCTCTTTTCTCTTTTTGTATTTGGAATATTTACCCTGAACAAGCCTCATCTGCGGCGGAGCCTGGGTTGGCGGTGGTGGTGGCGGGTGGGGGCCAGCCATACTACTTGGAGGCTGCTGGGGGCCTGCGGCGCCACCCCCTGCGTGATAGGGCGGTGGTCCCTGGTGATGGTGTTGCTGCTGCTGTTGTTGCTGGGCTTGCTGCTGCTGATGATGTTGCTCGTTAGCGTCGCGTGCGGCTGCTGCTGCAGCAGCAGCTGCTGCCGCCGCTTGTTGAGCGGCAACGGCAGCGGGCGCGGGTGGTCTGCAGGTGGGAGGCGCTGGATAACGCGCTGCGAACTGCCAGGGTTGCTGCTGCTGGCCGGACGGTGGTGGTTGCTGCTGCTGTTGCTGCGACGATCCCGGACCTGTCGCCACGACGCGTCCGTGCTCGCCGATCAGCGGTTGCTCGCAGCCTGCGCAACGCCCAAGCGCCGATTGCGTTAGTTAACGAGTTTAACGTGCATTGGCTTTTTATGATTGCAATGGCCAAAAATATAAATACCTGGATTATGACCGACAAACTGATCCATGTTACGCCTATCATCTGTGGGAAGAAAAACAAACATCGAAAGCATTAAAATCTATGAATCACAAAAATTTCATGACAACAATTGCATATGATACGTATAGAGAAAGAATGTTTAGGTAAGAGTAATAAATGTTTGCTAATGAGCTTAAAAAAACGGCGGCATCGTGCATGAAACTTCAATTTTCTGTCAGCTTCTCTTCCACTCGGCATCTCTTAGTCTAAATGAAATCTAAACGTGGAACACAAAATCAAAATGCCAAATAACGAGATATTTATTTTGCAAAAAAAAAAAAAAAAAAAAGAAAAGTACATAAGGAATTGCAGTTTCTGTAAAAGTTAAATTTCAATGAGGAAAAATATGTAATAGTGGGCCTTGAGGCTGTTTATAGAAGGACAACTAAAAAAAATAATAATAATAAAATAATAATAGACCATGAGAAAAATTCGGCAAACATGTGAATTAGTCTCTTCTGAAACTAAAAATTCATCGAATAATCAAATACAATCTATATCATAAACAACTGAAGAGAAAATATTTCTAGATGTTGCTGGAACATATGGCGTTATTATCGCGATTCGCCTTTGCTACTAATCGAAAACATCTACTGAAAAAAAAGATAAGATAATTATAGAATCAATATCTTATTTACAAACTGGTAAAAAATCCAACCAGTTGATAAGGTATTGTAATGTTTATACTCTACAGGCGTGAAGCGATTCAAAACTAATCAAATGTTGCCGAGACAAAGCGATGTACATAAATATTTATGTATTGATAAATAAGAGTGGGCTTTATTACTCCAAGTGTAAAAGAACTAAAAAATCGAATGTCCTCCTTGGTATGACTTTCGCATCTATAGAGATGTGTTCTCCTTAATAAATTTGTCTCCTTGACTTTGCTAACTTACGAAAAATAAGTTTTGCTTGTTCAAAGTAAGATTTTAATGATGCAATGAATGAAGCTGTACTAAAAAAATATACAGGAGCAGGTTTTTTTTTAGTTGTATCATCCAAAGATGCAAGGTTTTCGCTAAGTCGAATTCAACAAACTAATTAATAAATAGCATTTTTTTATTACACATATACTCGGTTAAATGCAGACTCTTGCATTATTTTGAATTCCTCCAGATCATGCGCAGACTTCCTAATATTGCTGTCAAAAGAGAAAAACTTAAAAAATCGTAAAAAAATTTATGTTTAAATATCTCCAAGGTGCTCGAACGATAACGTACAACCTGTTGAAGCACACAACTAAATAAAAGAAAGGTTTTCTGCTAATATACGAATGAGTCAATAACTAAAATAAAAAGTCATCCACATCGAAGAACAAAAAAAGGTAAAATAGCTATTACTTTCAATAGAATATGTACAGAAGGAATCAAGAGTGGTTTTCATCCAAATCAGTTTCCAAGAAAAAGAAGGCCAAAAATTAACATAATAGAATGTTAAAAATAAGTTTAATACGTAACATCAATTGAAAAAAGTGATTATGTATATTAAAATGAATGACAGTAGCAATAATTGCATCGCACAATTTTCTCCATCCCTGTATGAGATCCTAAAATATAGGTTGTTGTTGAGCATTAGCTACAGTTAGCTACAGACCTGGGTAAGGAGGTGGCATTAACAGGTGCTTGCCGCGCTCGCCTGGTGGAAGACTTCCGCCAAGCCCTGGTGGACCGTGCATTAGGTGCTGCTGCTGTTCCACCTCTCTGCTTGAACAAGGGATTTTTTAAACATTAGTATACGCGCGCGCGCGCGTTCTTATGCGCGCGATCAAAACCATCAGATTATGCGACCCCTTTTTATTACATTTTACATGTTTTCGTGGATTATTCAATCATTCAACATTGATATCGTTCGTTTGGGCTTCTTTTTGCATTTCTTGGGTACGTATGTATTTTTTCGAACGATTATTTCCATTCGTAAAACTCAATTCCTTGACTTTAACGACAAAGAAACTTTCTTACCTCACTAATCATAGGTGTCAACTGGGCAACTCGAAATTAATGCGTGATTTTTACCACACGATTATTATTACGACTACCAGATTGTACTAATATTTATTTAAAATGTATTTTTCAACCACATGATTCGTGAGGGAATAGTTTCTTTTACTCAGCAATGGATTCATCTTATGTTATACTCCAATAATCTTTGGTTTTGTCCTGCTAAAAATCTATAGTTTTGAATTTTTTTATTGAAAAAGTTCTTTTTTTTACAGGTGTAAGATTCAGTATCCACTATTACAAAGATTTATCAAGCAGTTTTTGCATAAACTATACTATTAAAATCTGTTATTTGTTGTTAAATTTTTTAACTCTAAACTGTTACTCAACAGTCGTAAAAAACAACAAATAAGAGAAAAATGTGTTTGATTTGGTATTATATATTCGCAAGAGAACATGTAATGTACAACCATTTTTAATTTGGCCACTTGTATATCATTTAGGTATGTAGTTAATGCTTAAAATATAGTTAATGCTTCACTTTTTTACTTAAATCACTTACACTCTGTGTTTACTTGCAGGCATTGTCAGACAAATATTTGTTACTTATATTAAAATTTGTTCTAAAAAACTAATGTAATTGATGATTTTTTCAAGACTGTTGGAGGATTTAAATGCCACATTCTCATAAAAATTGATATAAAAAAAAATTTTTCGTATGTGATTCGCACAATGATTACAACTGGTAAAATTAGTTTATTTCTCATTAATGCACTGTAATACCGAATGTATACAGGTAAATGATCAAATTTATATATAGCTTGAAAATAGTACAATAATTTTTTTTATAACTTACACTTCAAAGCTCAAGAAAATTTTAAGCAAGTGAATCTTCCTTTGACACTTTTACAAATTTAAATGATTCAAAATGTGAAATTTTTTATTTTTTTATTTTTCTCAGTTCTAAGAATTCTTTCATTTTTAATAGAATTTTTTTCAATATTGCCCATACACAGTCCTGGAAATTTCTGAAATGATAAATAAGTGCAATCATGAATAATCAACTGTAAAACATTCACAGCTGTCTGTTTTTAAAGATTTTTTTGTAAGATAATATCTCTTAAATTTTTATAATTCATTTTTTGTTTTTTTAACTAAAATTTGAATTAACATGTGAACTTGATTTTTGACGCTACATATATTAGGTCCGCCACCGTCAGAATCGGGAGGAATGAAAATTCTGACTGATGGAAATGAGTTTGAGATGACGAAAAAAAAAATCTACAAATTAAAAACATTACACTACACTAAGATCACGATATTTTCTTTACTACTTACAGTCTAAATTTGCAAAATGTTTACACCATATATATGAGACATATCTTTTTACTATTTGTCAAAAAAGCATTTATGGGAAAAATTGTTATAAGATGTATGATAAAAAATAAAATACAAGCGGTTATTTATTATTTTAATAATACTCATAGGCTTACATGGTCTAAGTAGCTTTAAGTACCATTTATTACGAAAGATATGGTCAGTTTTTTTGCACTTAAAAGTAAAAGGGGATGCGTCTGCAGAAATTACGAGAAGTGTTATATGATAAATATTTTTTTTTAATTTAAGGATATAATCTTTAAAAAAATCGTACATCTTAGAAACACCATGATCCCTTTATCAAATTATTGTGTGTTAAAATAAACAAATTTCATACAATTTTTTAGTTTAAGTAAGGAAGTGGATTTTAGTGTTTCTAAGATGAGATTACATTCATTTAAGCAATCCTACACACCCACCTCCATCGTAGTTAATAAACAATATTTTCAACTTTTGTGTGTATGATGAAATACTCTTTTTTATTTATTTAGTTATTGTTAGTACGAAATTATTAATCTTTAGCAATTGCAAATTATTATTTTTTTAGTTCTTGGGAAAAACATTGTTCATGTTAAATTTGCAGTAAATTAAAATATTTTAAGCTTCTGGATACTTGTTCACAGACGTTGTTCAAACCTATCGCTATCATCTAAACACATAAATAAGTATCGTCAGTAATGTTTTGGTATTTTTCTCCAATTTCCTATTAAGCCTAATCTTGAAACGATTGTCATCGAATGAACGGAAATGAAACGAAAAATTTTTTAAATTATCAACTTACCCAGTACCATGACGTTGGTTAGGTGGTCTGTTCAGCTGGTGCATCATAGCTTCCTGTACAGATAAGAATAACCAATTTAAGTATTTCTTATTAAAACCCCAAAAAGTGTTAAATTATTTAGTATTTAATATTAATTAGCAGCATATTAAGATAACACTTACGGGTGGTTCCATATCTAAATATCTCCTTTTGACACCTTGTCCCTTGTGGTAATCAGGTATATCCGAGTTCTGATCAAAATGAGGCTGAGGTTGCGGGGGCTGGACGGCGTAATGCATTTGCGACTGCATCTGGTCGTTCTGATAATGTATTTGTTGTGCATGATATTGCATAGGAGGCTGCATTTCTGGTGGAGGAACAACGTGGTGTGGCATACTCGTAGGTGGTAATTGTACCTTAAAAATACGAATTCGATATACATTTTACTTTTCGATTAGATGACAGTAGATTTTACGATTGAAAATCAAACCAACCATATTTACCTGCATTTGACCTTGTGGAGGTTGCGGAAGTGACTGTCCCTGATAAAGCCACGGAGCTGCCTGAGGAGGCGGATGCGACGGTGGAGGCACACTTGTTATTATATTCATGGAATGTTGAATTTGATTGACAGACGGCGGAGGAACCATTTGTGGCGGAGGTACTGGCTGTGGAGGCATGCCTTGATCTACTGGGCCCTCTTGAGGATGCTGTAATTCACTCCCGGGCGGCGGAAGTGGTGGTTGCTGGCCGTGATGGTCAACTAGAGTCTGTGACGTGGGCACCATGTATCCCTGCGAGACGGCAGGCGGTGGAGGCGCGTGCATCTGCATCGGCGGTGGCTGACCTTCAAACTGAGGCGGCCCTGGAGCTATGTGCTGAGGTGGCGGCCCCATGCCTTGAGGTGGTGGTGGTTCATGATTTTGTGGAGGTGGACCGACGTGTTCAGGACCGTGAGGCGGAGGTCCAGTAATTACAAAATGAGGAGGCGTCTGACCCTGTTGAGCTACGCTTGTTGGAACTGGCTGGTGATATTGAATCTGATAGGCTTGAGAAATTGGAGGAGGAGGCTGATTTTGGGGAAACGGTGGCGGAAAGTGCAACTGCAGCAGCGATGGTGGAGGAGGCTGCTGATTGAGATTCATTGGACCTGAAGAAAAAAAAGTGCATTTTTTTTTTATTAACTAAGTTTCACCGAGTGTGTCAATAAGTTGTAAAGAGCACTCATGACGACCTTTTTTGTGAAACTGGTAAAAAAAAGTTTATAATAAATGAGAAATTCTCACCAGAAGGTGGAGGCTGCTGCAGATTAACGTTAACGTGCTCGATCATAGTTTGAGTCGGTGTTGCTGATCTGGGCTGCGTGTAAACGTGGCTAAAAGTCATGGCACCGTTCATAGATGCACTGCTGCTTATAAACGTTTGCTGCGGTGGTGGTTGACTCACGACATACATTTGTGTCATTGGCTGAGGTGAATTTTGCGAGCCCGGCGGTGGCATACTCTGAATTTGCAGTGGCTGTCCTGGGTGTATCTGATACTGAACTTGATTTATACCCGGAGGTGGACCTATCAGCTGCACCTGACCAACCGACGAAGGAGGAACGAAAGTTTGAATTTCTTGAGGCTGATCTGGTGGTGGCATTGGTGTAGGTGCAGGAACATGAACACCAGTTGGGTGAATTGATGCTTGCATGGGTGTGCCGGCAACTGTAGCTGTAATTATTGTTGCCGGTAACGTTACCACACTACTCGGTGGATGTTGCATCATATCTGAAAAGAATGTTTAGTTTTACGGAAAACTTACAATTTCATTATATGTTTTTAAAATAAAAATCTATTTCATTACCTTGATGGATAGTAACTACGTTTGGTTGTCTCATAGCACCAATGTTCATTGTTTGAAATGGAGCTGCAAAAAGTAAAATTATTGTGATGTACAGATAGATAAGACGAAATAACAATAATAACAGCAATAATAATAATAATAAAACAAAGTATTCACCTTGTTGTATTTGTTGCATAGGCTGTTGAATCACAGGCTGTGATTGAACTGGTGGTGGCTGTTGTTGAATGTAAGATTGTAGTTCTGATTGTATGGTTTGTATTAAATTTATTGCTAATTGCTTTGCATTTTGTAATGCTACAGGGTTTGGATGTCTGTAATAAAATTTAAAAAATTGTTTTAAAAACTGGCTTTGTGAAAAGCTTGATACAAAAACAAAATGATAAAAACTAACTCTATGAATAAATGAAGCGGCTCAGGAGATTCCGTTCCAAGAGCCGGATCAATAAATTGCGAACTACGACCTCTTAATGTTACCGTAGCACCCGTTTCTCCTCTTATGTACAGTAAATTGGCACCACCTGCTCCTACAATTCGGCCTCGTAGATCAAAACCTTGAGGAGCATTTTCAATGCCCACGCATATTTTTTCCTGTAACACATAAATTTTCATAAAAATTGTTTTTTTATTTAGATATGAAAAAACACTAAAAGATACTAATAAACAATAAAATCGTTTTAGTGTCTAACGGATGCAATAATCATAGAATCGCCTTACAACGGATGGAACTCCTGAGTGTAAGCTCATTAGAGGTGGTGGTGCATTAGTAAATCGACTTGGCCTATTTAAGGAACTCCTATGCTCAGTCCTTATGATTTCGTTTATTTTTTGTACAGCTACTGTTTGATGAAAAAGAAAAAAAAAATATTGCAATGTCCAGATCTATTCAACATTCATGCATTTTTCATTGATAAACTTACAATCAACATTATGTTTTAAATGCCCTTGTATGTACAGATAAAGCGGACGCTCGTGTGGACATCGAGCTTTTTCTTGCTCAGACATGAAACGTCCTCGAGTTGATACAGTTGCACCTAAAAAATATCCAAGTTAAATTGTTATTTAATGAACCAAGCTACTGAGGCTAACATAACAAATGATTTGAATTGAAGTACCTGAGAAAGAATTGATTTCATCTTGTATGTAACCTTTAGTTAGCAAAGTTCTTGCACTAGGGGGTGTTTCATTGATCTCAAATTCTGTGGTGAACATTTCGTTTCCTTTGTATCCACCATTCGATGATGTCATAAGCTATTTTATAAAACATTAGAAGGAATGTATATCAAACAAAATAGTTGTTTCATGGATGAAAAATGTATAACAAATATTATATACCTTGTTATTGCCATCCATGGTTTTCACTTTTCCCTTGGTCATGTGTAAGGAATTAATCCTTATGGCTGCACTTATACCTTTCTTCATGATTGCAGTCAAACGCAATCTTAATGTGTTATTTTAAAACGTACACTCTAGTAACAACTAACCAACCAACATCAAATGCGACTCTCATTCTGTTGTCTTGCACACTAAAAATGGTATATGATTGGATACTTTTTTACATGGTCTTAAAAGATTCATCACGTTTTTAACAAAAAGTTTTCATTTGATGTCAAGAAAAAAAACAGAATGTCTAAAGCTCCACAGTTAAGTATTAATGAAATCTCTGTCCATTGATGTGTATCCATGTAGGCTTTCACCATTTAATTTCTTTAGAATGAAATGACTTCTTGTGCCTATAATAGAAAATGAACAAATTAAACGTTTATTCGTTTGGAACAGTATAAAAGACGATTCAAAAGTATGAAATGTATTATGTAATGTTAAAAAAAAAATGCATAAAATGTTTGATGCTATGTATGATGAGCAGTGACTTAAATTTTAATGTAATGCAGATTTTATTTTTAATTAACTCAGCTACATACACCTACCATAGATATAGTCAACGTAATATATAAAATTAACTTTTAAAATAATTGTATTTGCATACTACTTATATTAAATCTACGTTAGTTGAAACCATTTTGAAAGTGTACATAAAGGATGCTGTACACATTCAGCAAAGTATCTTGGACAAATTTTTTTAAGACAACCACTTTTCACTGCTAACATTAATTTTACTACGAACAATCCAAGCAAGAAGTTGTATGATACACATTTACTTGGTAATATGCTTTTAATTGCAAAGTGTGCCTCTTGCACACATACCACATAACTGCTTAATTTGCTGGCAACGATATCTACTGATACAATTGATTTACCTAACCACTACACTATACTTATAGCTTATGGCAGTAGCATACACAAACAAAATGGATATTACCATTATCAGTAACAATGTATTTCCTCTTACTGCCCTCCAGTTCACTTAACAAGTCATAACAAAAAAAAAAAAAAATAAGCACTCAAGAGAAATGTAAAATAAAGGAGAAGCATGTAGAAGAGGACATTTATCGCAAAGAAAATCCACTCTTTCTCGCACTTTAGTAAAATATGAGTACTACCTGTATACAACCTTATAAGACGTTACAGAACAAGAGGGCAACACAGAGGCATTAGATTGAAAATAGTCAGAGGATCTAATTTACCTTTTTGCTGGGTGCTTTCGTTGACTATATTTCCTCTCCTTACAGCTGGATCTGCTGGGTTAACCTCATAGCCACGGCGAAGACGTCACACGCGCGAGCTCTACGCGAGCCATAACACATCAAACCCAACGTAAGTGTCTGTCTGTAAAGTACCTATAAGTATACCTATACGCGAGGACAAACGAGATCGCTCTGTCATGAAATCTCTCCTCTTTCTCTTTGTGTCCACTTCTGTTTGATATTTGGTGCAAGATAATAAGTAAATATTTCAAGTTTAAGGGGAAATGTTTCACCGTTTCACGTTATTAATCGCAAGTGCAAAAGTTATACATGTTGTACCTCAGTCAGTACTTTACGTTGCTTGCTTACTACTTACTACTTACTACACGGTACGAATTCTCACATTTACTGTGTTGGTACTCCATTCTATATGTGCGTGTACAAATTGCAAAAGGGTCGACGAAAAGAGATAGAAATACACTATACACACCTATACACGTATTTAGGTATAGTAATAATGCAGCAGTAAAAGAATAATACACATGATGCACACAACAGTATACCTATATTTACTCTAAAATCTACAGTGCCGTATTCCGTATTATGCGCGATTAAACGAAAAAACTCCAACTAAGTACTTAGTATAGGGTTTCTCGAGAGTAAAAAAAAAAAAAAATTATTTTAAAGCGCGTACTTTCTCAATAAGTACAAGGATTTTTAACTTTTCATCCCCTCTAGAAATGATGAGAAATTTATCAACTTAAAATCAACAATGAGATGTGAAGTTTTTTTGAACCTCGAAAAATATTAATATTTTAATTCGTAAATTGTACATTATTATTTCTATATTATAAAAACGAGAGAGAAATATTTTAAAGCCAATACTACGAAGAAATATAAGGCAAGAAATTTTATTTTCATTTTGACATACAACATGAATGACAAATGATGATAATTCAGTCCAATGTTAAATTATAAACAACTTGCTTGTGTGCATAAGCTGCATACTTGAATTTGGTGTTCCAGAGCTTATCTTACTTAATTACTTATCTGTACCGTTGGCAATTGTTTATCTCTTTCAAGCAGATCCTCGGCGCGGGACTTTCAAAATTGTTTTCGTGAACAAATTATGTAAATCGTTTTGAATTATTACTTTAATTTAATTAATTATTAAAAAAATGATTATTTGAAAACACAAAATTTGTATAATCTTCAAGTTGATCAGTAGTTAAAATATTTTTTTCCTGGTACTGATACCAATGAAAACCCAACGAAAACGAATTATGATTATAACAATTTAAATAATTGTCTATACTATGCCGATATCAATTTTTTTTACGAACTTATAAATACATAGAATAAAATTTAAAAACTCCTACATGCTGCATTAGAACAAAAAAATCCTTATACTTTACACAAGCGTACAATTACATAGTATTATATGGTTACATGTTATTTCGTTTGTGATGCAATAAATAAATAAATTATTTAACCTCAGCACTCAAAAAGCCGTAAAGTTGATCGTGCATTACTCATTATTTTTCTCAATCAGTTCTATACAATTATTCAAACACTGAACAATTTCAAAAGCACTACCTACTAGAGGTCACAATTAATAATTTAGTACCAAAGAGTATACACGTTACGTAATGAGTCTTGTTGAGCTTGCATTAGCATTAAACATTGTAAAAGAGCAGCAGCGATAAAAGCGAAGAGGAAGACAAAAAAGATTGTCAATTAGTATACAGTACTAAAACGTAAGCGTTTTAAATACTTGGTAATTTCATTCCCTCCATCATCTCGTGCTTATGCTTGCAAAATTTATTCTTAACTATATCTATACTTTTTTTTTTTTTATGTCCATCGTAAAGGTTTCTGTAGAGGTGTGTTTCTTGTCTTGTAAGTATATATTGGCTAAGCAGTTTAACTTCGGACGTCCCTCAAAGTGGACTACGTGATAGATGGCTGATTTCCAATGGCCTACAGCTGATTGTCCGTTAAATCGGCCAGACTTGAAAAAAATGATTTCTATGGCGTGCATTTTCTTTGAGTTGTTAATTAAAAATAACTAATTTTAATTTTTTAATTAATTACATCGAGCTTTACACCAATCAGCATTCCAAATAAAATTCGTTTATTTGTTGCTTCACGGGGGTATTCGTCACCTTTTTTTTCTAAAAACTATTGGACCATAAAATAATAGTTACTCTATCACCGAGAGCACTTACTTTTATCAAGCAATTTTTTACTCTAGCGATTACCGCACCAAAAATGTTACTTTTTCAATGAACTGAACAATAGGGATTATTCCGTTGAACTTTTTAATCATTTAATTGTCAGGGTTACATATTATGCAACAGGTGAATGCATTATAGAATTAATGTACACTAATTTAAACTAAGTAACGAAAAATAAAATCTAAGGAAGCAGGGAAATAAAAAAAATATATATACGAAAGTTACTACGTAAAATTGGTTTTAAATTACTTTTTACCTAGATTAGTTAATTATTTGTGTAATACTTGTAGACTCCCGTGGACATAAATGTGATAAGGCAAAGTAAATGAGTATGTACATCATGACATGTAATGGTGGACGTTTTGTTGAAGCGCCTATCCAATGACTCATATACATATAGTAAATATTGTAACTAAATGAAATTTATTACGAGACTCTAAGTAGTTCAAATATTTTGTGGATGTTGTACAATTTCCATAATACAGTGAAAATATCAAGATATTTTCCAGGGTGTATGCCAACGAATTCGCTAACCTGCTATATGTAATAATTTTTAAATTTATTTTTACTAATTTCCATACCCAGAACACCGGTGTCTCTATCTACCCTAAACACTGTTGTATCTAATTTTTCGTACGCTACATTATATTGAATAGAGAGATTGTAGATGCTGCATACATTCGAAATCATCAAATTTACTTTGACTGAATAAAGGGTAAAATAATGGTTTAGAAACTCACAGTAATACCATACTCTAATATCATCTTACCCACGATTGACTAAGAACGGAACAAATCGTAAATCATCACAGGTTTGATAAGTACCACAATGAAAACACGAATGAAACTAATATAAACAAACACGTTTGTAATTCAATAAGAATCGTGATTTTCCAGCATGTCATATAATCATTATTTTCCTCTAAATTGCACATTAAAGTCACTAACTTACACGAGTATAAAAAAAAAAAAAAAAAAAAAAAAAAAAAAAGGGGGGGGGGGCGGTTCCATAATAAAGTAACCATGAACAATCGATGTCCGACAATTATCTCTCATTGATCCAATCGTACGCACACACGGGCGCGCAATCAATGTTCCTCCGGCTAATAAACCCAATAACCCGTTAAAATATCGCCTAAATTGAGTCTCGTCCTCGAAACGAGATCGTGCGACACCGAATGGTGCAATATACAAGTGTGTGGTTACTAAAGTAGCCAGAATCGAAGCTGCAAAAAAGGCAAGGAAGAAGTGCGCGTAATATCGCCCATTCTTCTCCCCACAGCTCGTCACGTAGACACTTTTCAATTACCCCCCGTAGGGCAGCTCAAGCCCCGTACCTTCATCGAATGGAAAAATTTTCCTCAAAACCACCCTCCCCGTAAAAAATATAAAATATTACTTTGAAAAAGTTAAAAATATAAAAATAATCCAGAAAAAAAGAAAAGCGTCGTGTGAGAGCTCTAGTATACACCGGCACGGAGTTCACTTCCTATTTTACCCGTTCGATTAGAAGCCGAGCCCTATCTCCTATATACTCCTATACGAGAGAGGTATAGGTCATTGTGCATGGCGTAAAGCGAAAGAGCGAGAGAGAAAGTCGGACGGATGGATCTTCAGTCAGGTCTTTGCCGCAACTCAGTCGGTCCGCGGAGAGCACACGGGACGTACTGACTTTTTGTTTGAGCGCTCGGGTTTTTACGCTAGCAAAACAGGGGGGTTACGATCAAACTGATGCGTATTTCAATTGAATGTTGAAAGAAAAAGACAAATTGTTACTGACGCTATTTTTTTCTTTTTTTCTTTTTCATATAAACATAGCCGTCGTGTAATTTTTACTCCAAAGTGTATACGTGTGCACCCAAGCCGACAATCCAACCACCGTCCTCGTGTCAACTGCTTGGCTCGATCTCTCGCTACGTAATATAGTGTAGTAGTGCTAATACATTTCGACTGGCGGGGGTCACGCAGCTGAATTTTTTTTTTTTTTTTTTTTTTCAAGCACACTATTGAATTAACTAATTGTTCAAACAAAATTAGCGACAAATGAGAGAACAATGAATCGCACGAAGGGGACGGTGTATGCGGCTGCAATGCTCCTCGTCCTCGTTGTTTTGGGCCTCTTTGGCACTGTCAGTGCCAGGCAGTGGGGTGAGTTCTTTTTGTTTGTTTGTTTGTTTGTTTTTTTTTACTATTCATTCATTTGTCAGGGACGAAATATGGAGCATTTTTAGACGGTGTGCATGTGTATGTGTGTAAGTACCTATGTGGGAGCAACGCATCTCGCTCTTTGGCTACGTGCCGGCGAATTTAAGGTCGGGCGGACACTGTGGCAAGCAAGTAGTAAGACACGATTTTGCTGCGACGATGGTATGTCAGGTACATGTAAGCCCGTGTGAGTTTAGTGTGCGCACGACCTGACTCTTTTCTTTTTGTTTTCTCTTTCTCTCTCCTTCTATATGTTACGTAAACTAAATTTTTTTCGTCTTCAGCTGATCGCAAGAACGTACCGAATACTTGATATCTCGCGTTTGGATTAATTTTACGTAGGTATTTCTCCTAGTGTCACATACTTACTGTTAGACAGGCACCTAATCGTAAAGTATGTTGTTTCAGTTTAAATAACACGTGTAGACCTTCGTTTAGGCGATACGTATACATATGCTATAATTGAAAACGCCCTGTCATCTTGGAGTTTCAGACATTCGCACCTCATTGATTTCGGAGCAACCTACACTTATGTTAGCTTCAACTTATCTAGTATCCACTTACCATAAAAAAAAGAAAAATTATGATCTAACAATTGAAAAAAAAACATGAAACACCGTTGTTTCAAAAATCCCCCTTATAACGTATTTTTTTTTTTTTTTTTTTTTTTTTTTTTAAGTGCACGAAATCATACACGCTCGGCACTTCTCGTGGAAAAAAAAAGAAAATCTCTGCTGTCATCACGATTAACGTAGGTATGCATCCAACGTACGTCATTACCCAAATGTGTGCCATTCGCGTCGAATAAGTGTGTCGCCGTCGTTATCGTTCTTCAGCTGCGACACTTCAGCATCAGATACAAAAAGGTATACAAGCTAATTCTGGTAAAGCGTGTATAAATTATATTATTATACGGCAATATACCGATGGATGTAATCAATGGATCGGTAAAACGTCATGACACACCCGTACCCATTAGCGATAACGAAGAGAAACAAAAAAAAAAAAAAAAAAATGTTTGCTTCCGCGTTGAGATAGCACCTAATTATACACCATTAGGCTGCCCTCAAATTTTCAATGTCAGCTCGCATGGGAGGGGGCAGCAGTCTATTATCGTACGATAGCTGAGAGATTCGGTAAAAACAATCTTTTATCTAGCGAGCGGCGTACTCGATCGAAACTCAAAAAGGTCCTTACTCCATGTCGCTCCGACAAACCAGCTCGAAATAAAAAAAACGAAGGAGTGCCCCCCCCCCCCTTGCGGCTCATCCGTGGCGAAAGCTCGACCCAAACCAAAAGACATTCCCAAGCGCCTGTCTAATTTCGCTTATCGCAAGCCGAGCTTTCGAAGCATTATAGGTACAGAGGTTCGATTGACGCGTGGTGCGCACAGCATAACATCCAATAGCAACGCATACATGGCACCAGAGAGAGAAAACACGAGGCACGAGAGGTCGACTCCATTCGCGTGCCACGGCTCGTCACGTAGGCCCTCGCCGGCCTGTATACCTACTGCGCGCGCGCCTTGTTCTCTCGGCTTCGCCGCGGATCTCCCGATGCCTTATACACATATAAGTATTTAGTGCTGCATCCTCTCTGGTCTTTGGACGGACACTTGTTTCAATTCGAAATCATGAGTTAAAGTCTTAAGGGAACGTGATTTATTTGGGGTGCGTCGACGGGGCACGGCTTTGGCTCCGGGCGACCGTTTGGCGCCAAGAGCTTTTTTGGCCAGGGGACGAGCTTTTTATATAACTAATGTCAGAGAGACTATATTGACGCTGCCGGCCTCTCATCTCGTGTCTCGATCATACACATAGCTTGTGGGTAATGCGAGTCGGCATGGAAAGAATTTCAAATCATATACATTTGTCGGACCGGAGGTGATAGTGGCTCGACGACGGGCTTACTTTCTATTCCGGAAATTTTATGGGAATCTCGGTACCTGCTCGAGTATGACGATGCTTAGGTTTCACTTGGATGACCTTTTGAATTCTTCATGTATTCGATCGTGCAAGTTTTCATCTTCAATGTCGGTCGCCACGTATATTCTTACAAGCACGCCCGATTAAATGAAAAACGGGTGTTATATAATGTGTATCCATTATAGATGCATGGGATGTTTCTCGAGACTAACGTTTGAATCGAAAGCTCTGATTGAATCAAGCTCTCTTTCGTGGTCTTGATTCGGTGAAGCTCAATGTACAATATTCATCGGTATACATTGACAGCGTATACGTATTTCTAAGGCACAAAAGGACTCTGAATTGGAAATGTCAGTCGTCAACGCGATTGACGCAAATTGGATCAAAAACGTGATTACGAGCGTATCGAGCTTGCGGTACATTGGTGCTATTAGCACCTCATTGAATATCCACCACCACGGCCCGATAGTGCTGTAATTGCATGCAACTCTTCGAAACGCGCACGTACGTAACTATCGATACGATCAAAAAATAAGAAAGAGACAAAATGTATCAGATGATATGATGATGATGGATTTTATGTAATAGACATCTGATAAACAGTGGAGAATTTCGTTCTGGCACAGCAAAAGATTCACGGAAAATGGGTGGATGGCAAAAAACGAGACGATATTGTTGTTTATCGCTTTTAGTTGGTATGAAAATGATTAGCAATTCATATACGATGACAGTCACGATGATGATAATGATTACGATGGTTTAATAAATATCAAATGCATCATTACACTGCACGCGCCAGGCTTTTAAGCGCATTCCACTTGTCGAAGACTGAAATGAGTCGAAGCGCAAACTACCTATGTTCGTTAAATGGATACATAATCGTTAGTACTTATGCGAGATTTTACGTAATTATTTTTTTTTTCTCTCAATCCACCGGATCATCGTTATATATAGCAATCTGCACAGACATTGAAACATTTTTTTCGAAATGTCGACCGAATAAATTTGCATATGCGAAATGTATAATCAGCGCTTGCGGTATTAAAAGATTTATACGAGATAACAAAAGTATAGTAATTTGCGGATCATCATCTTGAATTAAATTATTGTCACGTCGATGTGAAGCGAGAATTATCAGGCGAGTGTATTTCCAACAAAGTTTAGTAAATAAAATGAGTCTCTCTGCAGCGAATCGAAGTAACTAAACGATATGTTGGAAATTTCCGCGATCGTTCGATCACCCGAGCATGAAATCATTGATTTCGCCATACCTTTGCGATGTCCAACAGTCGTGCTGACCAAAATTAATGAATTACATTAAATTATGATCCAGAGACAACAAGAGTGCATAATTTTATAGATTCAACGTTAAACGCGAGGCAAAGGTATTTGACGAACAACGATTCGCGTGCAGCAATCAGTTAACCGAATCTCATCTCGTTCAAGCTCGTTCTTATAAAATTATATAAGTAATGCACGCACGTGTACAAAAATTATTTATAGCATCAACTTAATTTTGCATAGACAAGTGCAGCGTCATTATGAGAGCTCGTTTGAAAATAGGCTAGTCACGTTCGAAATGTACCGACCACATTCCCCTGTACACAACGTTTTCTACGAGCAACTTATTTATACCTACATGTCCGTCGCGTGAATCTCCATTTGGTGACTAATATTGAGAAAGAGTCCATGCCTCGCAAATTTTTCGCATCATTCCGGCAAATAACTTTCACCACATTTATCATCCGAGGGCACCGCAGGGAGTTAATTTTTACACTATAGCTCTGAGTTCGCACGTATAGGAAACAAGCTTAGGTGACGATACTATTATTATTTTCCATAGGTTTGTCGTATGATTTATCAAAAAAGTCACTCATTTATCCACAGCCTTTTGAAACATCACTTTGTTTTCTTTTGCTCTGTGAGTTTTGTCGCTCGTGACACCATTACCTACTGTTTTTTTTATATAAAAGTCATTGAGAGAATAATGCCGTACAGTTTCTATAGAGACAATTGGTTACATTTTTTTAGCAAATATACAAGATAGTTGAAAAAATACTTTATATCAATGTAAATTTGAGGAATTAAATGAGTTAATTTAGATACGTCGAATAAATGGTCGTTAAAATTTTTTCACGCAGACCCTGCGACCAATAAATACATAGATGTTGATAACTTACGGTGACTACAGAATAATACAACCCATTATTCATCCCGTTAAAACTGTACAGAAGTTTGGAGGGATAAATACACATACGTCACGATAGTCGTATATATGCGACCCTTTATGTATTATTATGCAATAAGGAAAGAGAGAGAGAAACTTAAACTCAGAGACTACAAATCTTTCCACTCTCCTGTGAACGAAAACAAAAAAAGTAATCAACGGAGCCTCGTCTCGTCTAAGATTACGTTCTCGAAAGAGAAGCAATGTGCACCTAGCTGTGAAAATTGCGCTGACAATACTTGCATACCTCATGTCCAAGTGACTGCTCATTTCGACTCGGTTGGAGTATAATAACTTCATTACTTGTGTTTACCCATGTAACTACCGACGAGGACACTTTCACGCATTTACGCTGTACTCACGTATAGGTATTCACTGTGTGCGCGCATCATCACATTTTACCTCGATCTACAAAAGTATATACATACGTATTAAGTACATTACCCCTGCGATGTACATTCGTTTCGTAATTTGAGAGCGAAAACTAGTCGCATGCGGGTGTCATGAGTGCTTTTTATTTCGAGATCCGTGGAAAAAAATGTCAAAGGCAAAGATCGGCAAACTTCTTGATCGGGAAAATAAAAAAAATGTTCATGTACGAGTCAAAACATCGTCACCGTACGTCAATAATGCGATGTACTTTTGCTCACGTTGCAAATACTTTATGTTCCAGGAAAACTTTTGTGCAATACTAAAAACATGCATTAATAAATTAAAAAAATTTTTTTTTTTTTACAAATACTTACAATTCATTTTTGACGTTCCATTCTGCAATTACGCACATAGTCGACAATCAGCTTGCACACGCGCGTTTGTCATTAAAAAAATGTTACAACTATATGTCAAGCGACGAGCGTCATAAAATTGTATTATATGAATAACGAAAAACTTGCAATAATCACGTGACGGTCAATAGAAAAAAATAAACGCCTGCACTAAAATAATTGGCTCTCGAAAACGCAGAGATCGGTAACGTGGAGAAAATGTAATCGACTTTACATTCCTTCCTGGTTGACACTGCAATCACGGGGGCAGACTCTCAAACGTAATATAATGTGCACTCGCAAAGGTACAGATCACAATAATATTTGTTTATTGCTAATCTTTTGTGTCACCTCCTCTTACAAAAACAAATCATGCGTGCTTGATAAACTGTCACCAGACAATTAAAATAACTCAATAAGAAAAATCGAGGTAATTTTTAATATTGACTCTCGTTAGATGATTGATTCTTATCGATGTGGCTCTATTGGGAAGTTGCGAGTGATGAAAATTAGTCTAAAGCATTATTATTATAAGTTTCTCACAGCATGTTGATGCTCTCGTGATTACCATCATTTTTAGCGACATTTCATTTTTTAACCCCAATAATCCAATAAAAATGATTAACGTATTTTTCGATTTTGAGTCTCGCGGTTTTGGTTTTTATCGATATATATTAGCTCTCTTGGAGAATTTCGACTGTTAAAAATTGGCTTAAAGTTTTTTTATTACAAGTCTTTTACGACATGTTGATGCTCTCGTCTTTGCCGTCATTTTCAGCGCCACTTTATTATTATTGCAGCATGGGGAAATGCAGAAATGTAATATTACGTGTTTAAAATAAAAATTCAAGGTCCACTGAAGATCGGTTGTAGATCTACGCAAACGACAAATCGGATGGAAGATCGGTTATTCCCAGAGAGTTTTATGTGCATGAATGCTTTTCCCGCAAACGAGGAAAAATATTTGACATAAGCCAAAGGTCCGAGCTTAATTTTTATTCACGAGTCGGAGCAATGCGTGCTGCGCGTTTGTATGTACATTGTGAGCTGTCGGTGCTTTTATCGATACGTAAAACATATTATGCGCTTGATGTTATTTTCCTCGGTGGTACGATAAAAAAATGAGATAGCGCTATCATCCCTCAAGTTCAAGTTTACCAACTCCTAAAGAACAAAAAAAAAAAAAAAAAAACTCTTTCCTCGTTACAGATCTGGCAGTGACGATCGGTAAAGAGATCGACTTTATCGCGCGCGATGGCAATCTCACTGGCAGCATGGTAATCACCAATACCTCATCCTTCGTGGCAATGGCGTACGACGATGACACCTACACGCTGTTTCTGAGCGACGCCGGCAACATGGAGCACTCGATCGTCAGCGTCGATCTGACCGCCGCTAAAAATATCACCGCCAAGCCTTTACTCAAGAGTTAGTATAATCACCGGCTCATTCTTATCTTACGTGTGCTCAATTATACCTACACTTTAGAGATACAGTATAATCGTAGAGATCAGATGTTATAACTTCAAGTGGCGTTTTCGATCTGCCAATGAATTAAATCAAAAGGATCCGCCGCTGTACGTCACACATGAAAAATAGCATGTATAAATTGTGTTGTTTCAGGAGATAAAGACTCCCAAATCCAGAGTATGGCGTTCGACGGAGCGTCGCGTACATTATTCTGGGCGACCGAAAAGTCTATAGCAAAAATGAAACTGCCACTCAACGGTCCGCCCGGCCAGCCGATCGTAGTACGCGCCTTCGTAACCGAAAGCCTACGAGCCATTGCCCTCGACGTCTGCAACAGGTATTACTTACATACAGTTTGGTTTTATTCATCAGCGGATTATGTATTATGAACACACATTCTTTTTATCGTCGGTTTTTTCAAAGTGCTCCTCTCGGTATCTCAAAATACACACAAACGAGCGCATGTCGGAGAATAAGTTGAAAGTATGGAGATAACAAATTTTTCAAAGGCTGCTTGTGACCGATGATTTTGAGCTGTAGTTGGTATCAACATAAGTTCTTGCGGTCGAAATCGGTATACATTCTATGAAAGTTACGCTTAATTTCATGTTTCGCTCGATTGATCGGGTCTGTATTTCTAATGATTCAGTTCTTCGATTCGTCGCTTTTTGTTGCGTGATGCAGTTCAGCCATTTGATCGTTACTAATCAAAGAAAACCATTTAACGAAGTACGCGCTAGTTTTAATATTATGATAAAATGATTTTTCTCTTTGATTCTGAATTCACGTGCTACCCTCGTGACATTGAATTATTCAACAGCTGCTGGTTGGTTGAAAAATCTCAAACTGCGAGAAAGTCCGTCGTTTAGCAAGCAGCTTCTCGGTATCGTGTGCGGCTCTGAGCATCGACTGTGAATCGTTGCGGTGCGCGATAAATTATTGTTGCATTACTTATCGTCGCGTAAATACCCAAGCTTTTTTGGTTTGTAAAAAATATTTATTAATGTTTTTTTTTTTTTTTTTTTTTTTTTTTTTTCTAACGCAAAGTATATCTCTTTTTGTCAATACATATCCCGGAATACATGTAGAGTCAAATTAAACGAGAAAAGATAAAAACTTTGAAATAACTCGTTGCGTTTTCACAGCGATCGTTCATCGAAAAATCAGTCAATTTTGTTAACTGCACTGATCTTTGCGGTGAAAATAGCGTTCACGCTGTCGAGCTTCCGATTTTCATTGTCAAATATTAGTAGTTGTAAAAGTGTGTAATATCGCTCCGATAACGAAGATCGCGCTTGTTCAGGCAACTGTACTGGGTGAACGGAAACCGGTCGCGGCAGAGTATAGGGCGTTCGCAGCTAGACGGCAGTAACGCGATCATCGTGGCGAACGAGAGCCTTTACGAGACGTCGAGCCTCGCAGTGGACCACTGGAGCGGTCGGCTTTACTGGCTGGACGACGAGGAGGGCATTCACTATAAGGTGGAGCAGAGCGAGTTGGACGGCAGCGGGCGTGCCATCCTCGTGCACGGCAACCACCACCAGCCGATACACCTAGGTGTCGACAAGGAGCGCGTCTACTGGACGGACTACGTGTCCAACGCGGTCTGGCAGATCGGCAAAGAGTCGAGGCAGGGCGACGCGCCCCGAAGGTTCTGGAGTTACCTAAAGACCGGCGAACAAGCCGATTTGACGACCCTCCTCGCGCGCGACAACCTTGGCTCCGGCGTCGACTGCAGGGCGATGAAGGCCGAGCTCGCAAGGAGGAAGCTGCAGCAGCAAAAATCCACCGAGTCCAAGAGCCAGAGGTCCCGCGACGAGCTGGACAGGTCCGAGCCGAGCTTTAGCAACCTTACCACAAGCTCGGAGCAGTTGCGTCCCAAGAACGAGTGCTCCGGGCAAGGGGAATTTGACAAAGTCATCGGTACCTGCCGCTGCAAGTCTGGGTAAATTTTTGCTTTTTTTTTTTTTTCTTTTCTTTTTCTTTTTTTGTCGTCATTGCATCCTGATGAATGTATTCTGGGCTCTTCGTCTGCTGCTCACAGATTCAGTGGCTCGAGGTGCGAGATCTCGCCGTGCCACAACTACTGCCTGGCCGGTGAGTGCCAAGTGAACAGCCGGGGGTTGCCGATCTGCTCGTGCGGTGGGTCCAGGAGTGGGTCGAGGTGTGAGAGGGACGCGTGTGATGGCTACTGTCTGAACAACGGCCAGTGCCTGGTCGAGAACGGCAAGCCCAGCTGTGAGTGCAAGTATTCGAGCGGCGCGAGGTGTGAGGTGACCCTCGAGATGGCCGAGATATGCGCTCTCTTCTGCATGAACAGGCAGTTTCAGATGACCGGCATCGACACCGCGTCCTGCAGGTTGCTTTTTTTCTCTCTCTTTTACGTTAGAGCTGTAACAGTGCAGTGTCTGATGTGGTATGGTTTTAACTCAATAATTGTGACAGATGCTCGGAGCTCAACCAGACGATCCAGGAAGTCTTGGGCTACGACAGCTTTAACTGCCAGATTATTGTGCCGCTGCTGTCAGGTTTTGTGGGCATGCTCACGATCGCTGTGATTCTGCTGAGCTTTTACGTCTCGAGGCTGAAGCGTAGGCCGCGCATAAAGAAGCGCTTCGTCGTCAACAAGACCGGCATCACACCCTTGACCTCGAGGCCCTCGCCCGGCACCGATAGCCAACAGTGCGAGATTACCATCGAGAACTGCTGCAACATGAACATCTGCGAAACAGTGAGTCAGCCTCCCGATCCTCCTGGCTTCGGTAGATAAGCACGAGGCGCTCGTGTTCGCCTGGTTGTTTTTATACTTTTAATTTTTTTGTTTGGATTTATTGACGCTTGAAGGCATCCTATTCCATTTTTACGTTTTGAGTGTTTTTTCACAGGCTTATTTATTTGTTGGCTTGGGCATCTACGCGTGTACAGCAGTATTATTGTTATTTTTTTTTTTTTTTCTCAGTGACAATCTCATATAATATATGTGTATATCAATTGGTGTTTCATTGGACACCTCACACGTTGTCAATTGTGTGGGTTATTGTTTTTCCATCACACCATGATTCGCATGTCATCCCTCATTATTAGCACAGAATGTTTTATTTTATTCTTCAACTCCACGATTTTGCTTTGGTTGATGCGTTAAAATTAATTTGAATCATAACAAAGTACATCATACCACGTCCTAGCATGGCACATTTGAAGTTTTGTTGGAAAAAAAAAAAAAAAAAAAAATTTACGATTGTCTGATTTCTCGTTACCATTGGAATGCTATGTATAGTATAGAAAGCATTGAAAGTTATATGCACGAGTTTGTATCAAACGAAGATTCGGCACGAAAGAAGTTGCACTTAGAAACAAAAAAATCAAGGCATCACCAGCAAGCTTATTGTATTTTGCAGCCGTGCTTCGAGCCAAAATTGCGCGCGTCCAGCAACGGTCGAAACGTCACCGGTGGCAGCAACGGCACGAAAAAAGAGGAAAAGAGCAATTTGCTGGACCACATGGAGGTTGGCCCCGGACACGGCTGCTAGCATCGACTAACGACGGCTTCCGATGCATCTCTGGCTGCCAACGTGATACTGCTCACCGTATACGACTACCGAACTACTTACTGCAACTGCTATACATACTACCATACGTGCCACCGCAACAGATTGCACGATAGAGTGGCGTACGAAGAAAGGAAAAACAGTTTTTCTTGAGACTGCAATTTTGCAAACGACGCCGATACGCGAATGATGGAAGAAGATAACTAAAACAAACAAATCTTTGTTGAGTATTTTTGTTGTTGAAGGTGCGAGATAGAGCTTTTTCTCTGTCTTTGAACGAGAAGATGGATTTGTACACATATATACATATATATTTATACATATATCGAAACCAAAGGCTTTCCGCGCGTGCTGAGAAAATACCGAGCCTGCCTTTGACCTTTTTTTTTTTTTCTTCATCAAGACGATTTTCAAGCATATAGATGATATACTTGTTCTATGATTCTTTTGTCCGAACCTGGATGAATGTGACCGTATTATTATTTGGTTGGCTTTCGGACCGAAGTGTTTTAACTTCGTTTTCTCAGCGTATGTTGATGCATGTTTAAGTTTTTTTTTTTTTTTTCCTTTTTTTCCTTTTTTTTCATAGGACGCAATTTTGTTGTTACTTTAATACTTAATTTGTGATTGAACGCGAAGTGTGTAAACACTCGGCTATTGCAACGTGGGCAGCTAAAACAATTCACTCCCTATTACAGGGATCGTTGGTCACTTGTGGTTTTCAGTGAGCTGAAATTTTTTGCTTACTCATTTGTATAAATTATAAATTCTTTAGTTGTACTCGTAATTGAAAATTTTTTCAAGGATTCCTCAAAGTTTTGAATGAATAATTGACTTAATTAGATTTTTAATGAGGTGTGATACTTAAAATACAATTTTTACACGAGTACAATATAGTTACTGGGGAAACTGAATTGTGAAACTTAATTATTTTTACACTCGTGAAAATCAAATTGTTATGAAACTAAGGCAATCGGTGAGGAACGAGAATTGAAGTCAGTTATTAAAAAAAAAATAAAAAAAATAAGATATTAAACAATAATCACTTTACATGGGTTCCAAAGGCATAGGTCGGAAGTTTTTGTAACTTTTGCCATCCAATGTTTTCCCATATTAGTTACTTAAAAGTAACGAACTATCAGTTTTTTAATTACATTTTTTCCGTGAATCCAAAAAATAGTCCAACACACTCGTGTTCATTTATTAATATGATTACGTCTACCACAGGACCAAAGTGACAAAGTTGCAGCTAATAAAAGGCCATATTCAAGCAAGCTTTAATTGTTAATAATTTATTGTGGCGATAAGAAAGTAGAAAAATCACATTTGTTCAACAATCGAAGTGGATTTTCTTTTTCAGTATTTTTTGTGCTTTCTGTAAATGAAAGCACTAATTTTATTGGAATGTAATTTTTTCGATTCTCACCATGTATCAAAGAAAAACTTAACGTATGAAAATTTCATTAAATCGTTACCATTTTTTTTCTTACTTTTATTCATTTAATTGCAAATATTCACTTCATTCTTATAAAATATTATGATGAAGTATCAGAGACATCTCCGATACTACTTCATAAAAATAGCGAATGTTTGTTAATGAAGATTTTTTTTTTCGTAGATCAAAAATTACCATTTTTCTAGCAGTGTTTGATTTTTTCCTAAAGTCATTGTTCCTATTGCGTAAAATCCTATAGATAACATTTTTAATGTTATTTATATGAGTAGTTTTTTTTATTCTTGAATTGTTATAGACTACAAAGGAGTACCAATAAGATGTTACAACAAAATATATAGTAAAGGTGAATGTGTGGAGCTAATAAATCATTTTCTAGTGCAAAACTCTTTGATGTCACGTGTAGTAAAATATAGTAGTTATTAAGATAAACAAAAAGAGAACTAATATTCTCTTAGAGGCAAAGTAAAAATGATAAAACATTTCAAAAAAGTATACAAAATTAAGAAACTTGCATCGATGAATACAAGTATGGCCTTTAAAATTTTAATTACTTAAGCCAAACAACTTAAAAAAAATTTTTTATGCCCCTACATTATATCCAATATATTTTTAATATTATTAATAATATTGTTATAAAAAACTTAAAAAATTTTTAATTAGAGCAAATCCACAATTCAAGTATAAATATATTTTAAAACTTTTTTGTGATTACCCTTTCCCCCAAAAAATAATTTTATGAACACAACTGTTATTTTTAAGTAGGTGCTGTTAATACTAGTAAAAATATAATTTATTTAGTCATAAGATCATGTAACAACTGACTTCATGTGTTTATAGCTAGCATAAATCGTTATTCGGGAGATATGCGTTTTTTGGGCAGATGGAATCTTTCATTTCCAATTTATGTCACTGTTATCTATGCCAATACAGCTACACATTTGCAGGAGCATTGACCAAAACTATAGCAAAGCAGCTATTTTTTTTTTTTTATTCAACCATTTTATTCTGTACAAAAACAAAATTTGCCATTTTACAAATTACCATGTTTAAAAAAAAAAATGTTTGAGATTGAAAAAGTCTGCTATAATCTTTCAATAACTACATGATGATTGTTTTAAATGAAATTTTTCTAGTGGTTCCTACCAACTAGAAATCAAATATAAGTTAAGGATGCGTTGAAACATAGCCCTCTCCCACACACTCATCCACAGAGTTGTGATAGTGGTTTTATGGTGAAAGGGATGTGTTTCTATGCTAAGAGATTTGTTATGTAAACAGCAATCAATAATAATTTTTACTTGAAATTTTTTTTTCAATTCACTGTGTAGATTAAACATTTTGTAGTATTGAATTACTGTTTACATAACGAAAATAATGTAGAGGTACAATTGTAAATATAATAAAAGAAAAAGTAAATAATAAATAAAAATGGCTTTTATCTTCTAAATGCAAATGGTTTTGATTTATCCTTATTTTCCACAAAATTTTAACACTGACATTTTAATTTTAAAAAAATTATACATCAACTAAATAATGTCGTAACCCACTTTTGCAAAACTGGAATATTCACGTGTCTGCAGACAGTTGAGCATCAGGAAGGACAATTTTTTCTCCTGGTTTGAAAGCTGGCATTCCAAGGTAAGGACAGCTAGCACATCGAAAAGCATCACCAAGGTAGCACTGTAAAAAATTAATTTTTGTACAACTGTGAAGTATTACACATAATATAAAAAAGATTTACTTACACTGCCACAGGATGACTTTGGTTGCTCTTTTACTGCTGCTTCTCCTTTCAATTCTTCAGCTAAACCACATGAACAGTCTTTACAAGCTTTACGTTTGCCTGTTGTGCTGCAAACTAAAATATAATTTTTCTAATTATTCTACATTTACATTCTTTACTTTCTGCTTTCAGAGTAATGAATACTCACCTTTTAAGGAGGCAGCTTGGGGTTTTAAAATATCACTTTCATCCAAAAGATTATCTTCATCTATTAAATCTTCCTCTTCATCAGCATCTAATTTCCAAACATTCGTTGCAGGCTTTTTAAAAGAAATCTTGACACTTGATCCAATCTACAATCAAAAATAAAAGCAATTGGATGTAACATACAACTAAAAATAAGTATGTATTAAATATACATATCAAATCACCTCGTAATCTGGTTTTTCTGCAATGATTTCATAGGATTGTGGTTCAACAGCTTTTGGCTCTTTTTCTTGCAGCAAAAATCCTTGCAGCATGACTTTAAGAATTTGATTATTGAAATCTCCTTTGCTGTCAGACAATTCACGCATTGCTAAGATTCCTTCTGGTTTTAAAATCCTAAATGATTCTTTTAACAAGTCTTCACTGTGAACATAAGAGCTTGTATATCCTGATAATATAATATCCATTGAAGATGAATCAAATTTACCTGAAATTTGGCAAAATTAGTGTGATGCCTCGTTGTAAGAATATTATTGAATCTTTGTGTTACGAAAAAGTAGTCAACAAAATTACTCACGATCATGCAATTCACTTGAGCTTACAAGCAATACTTGGCCACTGTTTCCAGCACTTTTTTCAACTTCACCAATCAAACTCTTAGAAGCAGTTTCGTTTTCACCAGGTGCTAACAGCACAATGACTTTGTTGCCTTCTTTCACAAAATTAGCCATAACGTCTTTGTGTCAAAAGCAAGAGATTCAAGTATATATACCAATCCAACCAAGCAAATTTCTAATCTATAACTTATTAGCACCACTATTTTTTAATAAAAAGTCACGCGTACTCAACTACTCGTACGTAAGTGAGTAATTACATGCAATCCTATTACAACGTGACAATCGTACAACTGGCAATGTTAAATTTGCTTGCTGATTTGCTGTTCACATCTATGTCTATAGACATCTTTTGTTTATTTCATTGTGAACGTTCATATTGAAAAGGGGGTTCCAATGTTCCGCTAAACTCAAAGTGAGTGAACAGACTGAACAGACCTATACCTCTTTTTCCATTAGGCAACTAAGCCCATGGTCGCAACTATGTTGACTGACAGAGAAGAGAACACAGTATAGGTCTGTTCAGTCTGTTCACTCACTTTGAGTTTAGCGGAACAGTGGAACCCCCTTTTCAATATGAACGTTCACAATGAAATAAGCAAAAAATGTCTATGTGAATAGCACCATAGAAGAAGGCCAAGGATAGGCCAGGGAAAGGGGTCCAATGTCCAATACCTGCCAATACCCGATTGCCCCGAACCCCGGATAGCGGATACTGTTAACACTGTATTGTCAAAGGTAATGTTAGGTATAAGCACTGCGAGCCCCTGGAGACAGCCGGAGTCCGGACCGGACAGAAGAGAAAGGCATCCCGATCGGAAAATTAGCACGTTAGCAGGGCTCCCAGGGATCAGCGCCATCTAGTGATAAAAAAATCTGCGAAATCTTTTTTTCGTATTCCATCTGTGATTTCTCCGGACAATAAAAAATACAAAAGTATCAGTGCAGAGGAACGAAATGAAATCATTTCTTTATCTATGAAAAGACAACAACATTTCGCAGATTTATCGTGACAACCACTTATACAACAACTTTTATTCATGTTTTTGCCACACACTGCTCGTCAGAGGTTATGGGACTTTGTTGAGATCGCGGAGGCGAGGAAGCTTGCAACCACATATATATGTATAGTAGACGGGTACAATCCACCTGATTGCAGTACTTTTTTTTCTGTACTGATTTTCATTAAAACTACACTTTTGGCAAACAAAAGAAAAATTTCCTCTAATGCATCGGGAATCGCTATTGACTATATTTTAAATTCGTTATAACTGGATCATGGTAAGCACAAAAAATAAAATGTTTTTCTAATCAACTTTATGCCCGCGATAATTTCATTCATTTTTTTGCATTGCTTACCAAGTGAAGATGTAAAAAATTTAGTGTTCATTCGATAGCTTATTAAAATCTGAAGTTTTTAAACGCATTATCATTAGTTGGGACGTCCTCGTGAATTTCACAGCTGGTTTTGCACATTTGGTGCAAATTTGAAAAAAAAACCCCAGTGATCGCGCCATCTTAGAATGACGTCACAAGTGAAAATACCTTGTACAGGTTGACGCTAGCGCCGCCCGACCATGCGGCGCTACCACGACCTATACGTAACTTAACTGCTGGCAGTATTTGCGGAATACAGCCATTACAGCCATTACAGGAGATCGAAAGCATAACATCTTTTATTCACGTATTTAACAGTCCGATTTACAGCTTCAGAGGTAACGAACACACGAAACGGCAGCATAGGAGAACAGAAAGAGCAGCAGCAGGAGTTATGCTGGTCAAGCAGCCGAAGAATAACAAATTCAGATGGATGATAGCACTTATCGGTGTTGAGTTTGCAGCTCTCGCTGCCGCCTACGGTGTCTGGCGGTACATGAATCATTCGCGGGGTGAGTCACGTTGTAACTACCCTCCACGGCTCTGGCCACCCCCTTCCTTCGAGTTTTGCGTACATATATTTGTATATAATATATTATCTTTTTATGTCAGAATGAACATCGCGTTCTCTAGGTTATAGTTCTCTCGCTCTCTTCTGTTTTTCGTCCTACTCTTTTGCCTTATTGAGTATATTTTATTTACATCTCTGTCGTCATCCGGTCTCTCTCGATAGGATATCAAGAGTCATTAAAAAACTTTCTAGAATAAAAATTTTTGTTTCCCTTATACTATTTCTTACTTTCCTAACTTTAATATTTCGATATTTTCTTTATTTTGGTTTGTGCGGTACCTGTATTCAACGAGCCTGCTTATGTACTTTGGCAATTGAATTAATGTCAGGCACACATGCACCAGTTACATGGCATATTGTTTTCTACAATAAACATTATTTTTTGTAGTTTTCAAATCTACTTCTAGTAATTTTCTCATCTTGATCAAGTTCTTTGCCCATAACCAAGTACAGTTTTACAATGATTTAAATCAAGTTAAGATTTTATATCTGAAGTTCTTTTTTTTTTAGATTTCAGACTCTACATGCACAAGAATTATCCCATGGTTCTAAGTGGATTTTATAGTCTTGGTGAAGCACAAAACCCATATTACAATTTGGCAAAGCTGGATGAAAATTATTGGATCCGTAACGGAGACATGTCAGAAGAGCAAAGAAAAATGTAATGGAGTTTTTGCAACATTTTTTATCCATGATCAATAAAAGTAGAATAGATTACACATGCTTAGTGGATGACGACATAATGATCAAAGGAAATGTAAATGAGTACAAGAGATAACGATTAATAAACTGTTAATCAGTAAAGTTCAGTAAGTATACATAGCAGTTTCAACATTATTACGTGTTGTAAAAAGTTCATATTTATTTGAAACTAATGCATTCAAATTATTTAAGGACAAAATTATCATGGAATTTAACACTCCCAGCGAAGAAAGCTTATCCGAGCGTATCAACAAAAGAGACAGAGAGCGTAGGAATGTGATTGAAAAGCGTAAAGAAGAGAAACAACAGCTCATTGTTGAAACAGAGCAAGCTAGCTACTTTAAAGATGCTTTTGATTCCACTTGCACTAATATCAAAAAGTTACTCGACAGTGCTGAATCGGCTCCTACTTCTTCGCTATTGGAAATTTTCGATAAAGTCAACAAGGATATACTGATGCTAAAAAATTACTTGTTTGAATCAAAAATATTTTTGAAGATGTATGATATCCGTAAAGCTCAAGAAACTCTTCAAATACTGGAAAATGATGCAGCCCAGCTGGAAGCAAAACTAGTTCCAAGGAAAAAATTCGGCTTTAAAAATCGCCGAGTTATTAAAAAATCATCCGATAAACCAAGTGACGTGACTGATGGTTTAAAGGACATGAAGATAACCGAAGGAAATGCAGCAAATGGTGTAGGTAAACAGTGTAGTAAAAAAATTTATAACAAGTATGGGGATAACACGTGCATGCTGCTAGGGAAAACGGATGAAAAGCTGGTACTAGATGCTGAAAATGTGAATAAAAACGATGTGTTACTGACTGATTTAACAAGGTGTACAGTCAAAATATACGGAACTCCAAATACACTTCACATGGTTAGTCTTGTACAATGCACTGTTTTAATTGGACCAGTGACAACATCTGTGTTTGTTGATAACTGTCTTGATTGTGATTTTGCCTTTGCGTGTCAGCAACTTAGACTACATAGTTCTACGAATTGTAAGATATACTTGCACGTGACAAGCAGAGCAATTATAGAGGATTCGACAAAAATATTTGTCGCTCCCTATAATTGGTCTTACGAAGATCAAATGAATCATTTTAAGTTGGCTGGTTTGGATCACAAAATCAACAACTGGGACTCAATTGACGACTTTAATTGGCTGTCGAAAGAGAAAAGTTCTCCAAATTGGTCCATACTAGAGCCTGAATTGAGAGTGAAATCTTGGGATTGATTATTTGTACAATAAATGTTATAAATTTTATAAGTTTAATTTCATGAGAGACTGGGAAAATCAATGTATGCAGTATAAAAAAATTAACTATGTATTTCCTTTTTACACATTAAAATAATATTACTTACTCATTTATTACATGGTAATAAATATCTCTCCTTATAAATTTACACTTCATTATAATTAACCATAATTTAGAAAAATAAAAATTCCGGATTAGTAAATATTTTTGATAAAAATTCAGTAAATTTTATAATTTACAATCATCATCTATTATATAAGTACTTATTATATGCCGATTCATTTCTTAAAAAGACAACAACATTTCGCAGATTTATCGTGACAACCACTTATACAACAACTTTTATTCATGTTTTTGCCACACACTGCTCGTCAGAGGTTATGGGACTTTGTTGAGATCGCGGAGGCGAGGAAGCTTGCAACCACATATATATGTATAGTAGACGGGTACAATCCACCTGATTGCAGTACTTTTTTTTCTGTACTGATTTTCATTAAAACTACACTTTTGGCAAACAAAAGAAAAATTTCCTCTAATGCATCGNATATATATATATATATATATGTAGAATAGTGGAACGCGGACCTCGCAGTTCTTGTACGCCTAATATTTCTGCTGCAGGGAGAAACGACTTTGAATAACGTTAGTTCTTTGAAGAAATAATTAAACAATGGGAGTCTTAGCCAAAATTCCTTCTTTTTTGCAAAGTAAGTAGTACTTTATTGAATTTGGCTTGTTATTTATACGAGAATATCAATACTACGTCAATTGTCGTAGATCCTTCAGAGATAAACATACTTATGTAACAATCGATTGGTTGTTTCAAAAAGGTTTTTTAACGAAAAAATCAATCACTCGATTTTTGTGTCATGGTTTTTTTGATTCAGTATTCAATCGAACTTTTTTTTTATTTGCTCACGAGTGTACAATATACATTTTTTTAAGGTTATGTGTCAGTTTCAATATATTTTATTAATCGTATTCATTTCATTAAAAAGTAACCAGTGAAAGTTTGAAGTGCTTTTTTGTTGAAGAATTTACAACTTTGCAGAATTAAATTGCTAGTGATCAAAACGAATTCCTGATTTTGTACAGGCACAATTAAGGCAGCTACTCCACAGTTGAAGATCATCCAGAGATATGCATTGGTTGAATTAGTTCCACCATCTCCAAGAGATCTTCCAGCCATTCGTTCTGGAATCTCTAAACTAATCCACAGTGCCAAAACTGGTTCATTCAAAAATCTCACAGTCAAGGAAGCAACATTAAACACACTGGTGGCTATTGAAGTTTACTGTTGGTTCTTCATCGGCGAATGCATTGGCAAAAGACATATTGTGGGTTATGATGTTTAAAATAAATTTTAACTTCAAATAGATGACTACATGCTTATAATAGATAAATACTAATAAATATGTAAAGATCAATAAATGTCGGGAATATCTAAACATGCGATTGATTGCAAAGAAAGTCACTCTTTGATTTCAAACTGTTTGAAATTTTTATTTACAAAAATATAATTTAAATTAACAAGAGTTGAAAATTTTTCTTTTAATTGTCACTGTAAAAATTTACGTTAGTAATTGGTGTTGCTTTACATACTCCCAAATGCAAATCGCGCTTGTTACATGGACATTTAATGAGCGTATGATACCAAATTGAGGTATTTCTAGGCATATGTCCAATAGTGGTATAATATTGGCAGGAATACCGTTTTTTTCATTTCTGAAACCAAGACATAACTTGAAGTACTAATATCATATTTGTATCTATATGAAAACTTACCCTAAAATGAGAGCAGTTTTCTTTGGAAATTTCACATCAACTAAATTTATGCTGTTGGCTGTTTGCTCTGCTCCAATGAGGGTCCATCCAGAGTTTTTTAATTCTAGTAAGTATTTATTAAGTAAAAATGATTTAACCTATAATTTTAATTTTACTTTTTATGTGTTGTTAATTAGTTTTTAGTTAATTTTTATGTACAATATTTCATATGAACATGGGTAAATACCTCAATAATCCTCAACCACTTATCAGCTGACACACTCAGAGCTTGAAAGTCTTTTTCTTCCGTTTGTTTACAGTTGGAAACGACAAGTTCTTTAACTGCGAAAATTTCGCACGTTCTCGCTATTCCACCTAAATTTTGTGGTTTGTCAATTAAAGAAGCTACCACTATCATATTTTGCGGACTTTTTATTCCATTTTTTAAGCTCAATAAACTCGCCAATTCTTGAAGTTCTTCATCATTTGGCAACATTATTTTCCACGGGATTATTTTCTTCTGCATATCCGTCGTAGTTTCGGAAGATTCAATTTCTTCCGCTTTCGAGCGCTCATCTTTAAATTTAATTCTATGGTTCATCACAATACCTCGTATAATTTATAGAAAAAAAAAGTAAATAACACTTACTGGATTTTAAAATAGCGTAAGGAATAGTCGCCTCATTCAACAAGTTATCAGAGTTAGTGACATTAAAGTCAACTTTTAAATTATCCAGCAGCATTTGTTCTTCGAAAATCTTTTTTGTTACCCATTCTTCAAAACTAACATTGGTTAATCGAGGTAACTGGTGATATATCGTCTAATAAAAAAGAAAAAAAAATAATAGAGCGTTTTTCATTCAATTTATTTATAATACTCGTACCTCTAAACTGTAGTGTTCTAGTGGATTAAATACTGTATAAAAAAAGTCTTCATCGATTCTCATAGGATTTTTCTTAAAGTTCCCATTATTTAAACTCTCCAGGATCGCTTTATAAAAGCACGAGTACTCTAATCTAATATCACAGTCTTTATCGAGCAGTTCGTAAAGTTTAACAAAAAATACTTGACCGAAAAAACGCATTCCGAATTGCTGTCCCATGCCGCATATTCCGAGTTTTGAAAGTGCCGTCCTTATGAATTTCTGAAGTTGTTCCTTGTTCAGTAGCTGAGCAACATGCCATATAATTCCAATTATAGAACTCGCACTACCCGGCCTTTCATTGTAAATCTGCAATGCATGTATAGATGCGATGATGATGATGATGAGAGAATTATTTACACTCAAATTCATTTACATCAGACCTTATCGAAGAATTCCCACAAATTCACCAGTAAGTTTTCGTTTGACAGATAAATTCTTACAAGTAACCACTCCTTCATCAAGCGAATGCTATGTTGATCGGTATCCTCAACGAATGAATCGCACAAGTATTTGTATAAAATCTTTGTAGATTCCTGAAAAGAGGTGTTCGTCGCGATCAGTGTAGTGATGTGCTTGTAAAAAACAATCGTACAAGTTTTGAAAAAAATACCTCATTCAAGTTAGGCTGCAGTATCAACAAAACTTGAAAAATTCGATGCTTTATCCTGTGGAGCTGTGAATCGGCAAAGTATCTTTTCTTTTTCAGAGGTAACAATTTTTCCAGTACCAATGGCAGAAATAAATCTGCATTAGCAGTGCGTTCTCTCAGTGCATTGCAAAGTTGCAAAACAGCTGCTGCTCGAACAGCTGCGTCGACGTTTGATTGCCTGTGATGTATCGTTTGAAGTTAAAAATTAAATTTATAACAACGACACAACCACAAACCTGTTTATAAAATCGTGGACTTCGACATTTTTTAATTTCTCGTGCTTAAACTCATGGAGATGCTCCGAATCATCGCCCACCGTGCAAGCTTGCATGCTGATTCTTTGATCGCGCCTCAAAACTTGCCCATGGAGTAGCCCGTTCAACACCACTTCCGTGAAATGATTAAAGTTCCCCTCAATTTCACTGCAAGTCAGTAAAATGTACTTGAGAACAGGTAACGAGTCTGCCTCGCTCAACATTCGACTAATAAACTGTGTAGAAAAAAAAAATGGAATTTTATGGATATTTATAGGTACTTGCAAAAAAAATATTTTGTAAAAAAAAATTGCAACTCACCTCTTTGGATGTGACGCGTAGAGTTTTGCAACTTAAAAAGTTTGAGCTGTTCACGCATGCGGTCAGTCGTTGATTGACCATCCAGAATATTTTGTCCCTCTTACTGGCGAAATTGCAGTTCCAAAAGCTTTTTATTAAAAAATTGAAAGTCTCCAACTTGTCGTTATCATTTCGAATAAAAGTACTGTACAAGCGCATTACGTCGCTGAAGTGTATCAAAACTTGATTCCCCGAGGCATCGAGTATTTCGGAAAGTATGTCGAGCCAGTCGTCGATCTCGTTAAATTCAGCAATATTCAACGCGAGGACATGATTTCTGATGAATTTGCTCAAGGCGACGTAGTAATCTTGGCCGATTTTTCCCGTCAATTCGCCGCCGAGATTTTTCGATTTCGGTATTTGCAGCAGCTCGTTAACTATTACGTGGAAAAATTTGCTTTTATAAGTAAACAAATCAGAATGATCGCTCCACAGTTGTACTGCAAGTGACAATTGCACTTCGTTGTGCTTGTTGGCGTTGTTCAGAACTCGTATACACTTGTCTTCCAACTCTACTTTGTTATCGCCCGTAACAATTAATATGGTACTATTTTTGCCACCTGAGCGATAGTTGATGTTTTCTAAAGCTCTTAAACAAACTCGAGATTGTTTGTACGTGACATTGTCATTGTTCAGTAGTTTCAAGATAAATCTGTACACAGTCTCTTTGTAACTGATAAAGTATTGTATAATGAAGTCGGGAACAGGCCGTTGTAAATGCAGTAAATGATAAATTAGATCTAAGATTTTTATAACAAAGCTAGTGTCAACGTACGGTCTTACATCGACATTACTCAAATGTAAAAGCAGAGCCCGTAGTTCTAGAGTAGCGGGACAGTGTTTCGTTTGACAGATTACCTGTCCTTCGTACAGCAACTGAATTATCAAAGCAAAAACGGACATTGAAATTCTTTCGTTTGCGTCGTTGAGTCTAAGTTCCAGGCAAGTTTTACGAATGAAATCTATAGATAAATTGTGGGGAATTTTGTACATCCACGTCGTCAGAGAAAGCCAACAACTAGGCTCTTGTATATCTTGTTCTAAGAATACGTGTAATAAATTGGCCATGACTGAAAGGTCTTCAATTTCGCAAAACCGCGACAGTATCTTAATTAACATCACTTGAGATGTTGACCTCAGCTTTGGAGGATATAATTTTATATTGCTTTCCATCAAGAATCTTATTGAATCTAATGTTTCTATTGTCCACTTGGTGGAATTTTCCAATTCATTTGAAGCGGAAAGCAGTGATTTTAATGTGTAATACATTGGTACTGGTCCCCATGGTACTTGACTTGATAAAAAAACGAATCTTTCTATTGAATCTTGATCTTCGCGTTGATTATAAATGAACCACTGACGTAGAGCAAGTGAAATTTCGGGATCGCTTTCATTGATGCTCTTTTCATACAAGAACGTATTATTCAAAGATACGACGATTAACTTTATAAAATTATACGTGTTCTCCTCCATAAAGTCAAACTGCAATAGTCTCAATAATCCCCATTTAATAACAGAATTATTGTCGTGATGCAAAATTTTTGTATAAACACACAATAGCCACGTTAAATCGAAACAATTTCCGCATTGCTTATGTTCTACCCAGCCTTTTTCCAAATCGCTAAGCAGTGACAAACTTGGAATGACCAAATGCTTTTGTTTTTCTTCTAAAGCTTCCATTATTAATATAAAACTAACTAACAAGTCGTTTATTGATAATGTACTATTGCTTCCTGCGAGATCGCAAATAAACGGATTGATTTTACACTCTGACAACATGGAAAGTTTAGCTTTTTTGATTTCGCTTGTATTTTTACTAATAAAATCCACTGTTTTCTTGAAAAAGTATAAGGCTTGTTTGCGTTCTGGGGACTGAGCGTGGACAAGCTTAGTATGTAATAAGAACCATAAGTCTGAATTTAAAATTAAATTATAATCTACATCTAGTTTTGATGAATCAACAGGAAAAATTAAATCACAGAGAATACACAAAACAGTCAAGGTTGAATGGTTTTCAAGAGGAATTTCGTGAATAAATGAACTTAATATTTTAGTACTTTTGGTAATATCTATGATTTTACGTAAAATACAGTAGAAAGAGTGCCATTCAATAGTTTCTTTATGTAGTACAAAAGTTTGCAGATCGTATAAAATCGAAGAAACTAACACTTTTTTACACGACTCCAAGTGTGTTTTATTTACTGGATTTAAATCTTCATTAAAGCTTAGAAAATAAAGTATTTCCCAAGACTCCAAAAAACAGTTTAATACGTTCAGATGAAAATCAGTTGAAAGTTTATTCTTTGATTGGCTTAAAGTAACGAAAGTTTTGAAATCCTCAAACAAATTAATTAAATTGTTCTGATTTTCAAAGAGAACTAGATGCAAAATCATGATGTCATAGACAACAATTTTATCACCTTTACTAATACTTAGCTTCTCAATGGTAAAAATTTCGGCAAATTCATTGAATTTTGCGGCAAGTTTTGTTTTATTATTTCTGCCATGTTTGTAATTTAATTTGTAAAGTTGACATAACAGTAATCTCATAAACTCCAAGTGTTGTTTGGCCGGACTAGTTTTTAGTTTATTGAAACAATCTTCTATGGACTTTATCAGAATGGAATCAATCGAGTCATGAACAATACAAGAATCCTCAAGAGTTTTGAATATCGATGATTCCGATCCAGCTATTTTCATAAATTGTTCGTGAAGCTCCATACTACTAAAAAAATTTATTTTTTAACAAATAATTTTAACAGAAAAATTAAGTAAGTATTTGTTAGATAAAATTTCGAACCTGATGTGTGAAAACGAAAGATGTCCGAAAGATTGTTAATTTTCGGAGTCACGTATCACGTTCTAAGCGTGTATCACGCACGGAATAGGTAAACAATAAGTTTACCTCACCTGACCACCAACAAACCTCTCGTAACAGTCGTAACCGGCGGCACGTGTTAACACACTGCACATGCACATGAGCAAGTATACTCTATATCGTTTTCACTTTGCACTTAATTTGCACTCTTTGCACATTTGCAGATATTTTAATTCGACACTAATATAGCAACAGCTGGCTGACGATTTTGCGTGTATGTATGTGAAGTACAGTGTAATGGTAATGGTATACTTACGGTTTACGGTCCACGGTTTACGGTTACAGAATACCTACGGAGTCTTACCTCAGTAAAGTAAAGTTTATAATACTATACACATATGTGCTCAAATAACACTGGCGGCAAAATGATCAAAAGAAGAAGAAGGTAATCAACGGGGGAACTCGTCCAAAAGTCCAAAGATAGCATTTGAAGGTAATTTGTGGTGTGTGTCTCGTCCGACAATCCGCCGACCATCACCATATCACCAATTATTCACCAGCGCGAAATACGTATCGGAGCTCACTTGATGGCTATCCTGGTGTGAAAAGGCGCGCAACACACTTTTTACTGAATGAAGTTTATTAACAAGTGCCACCAGTTTTGCTCGTTTGTAGCGACGACAGCAACACGTGACCGTTATGCTGGATTGCTGAGCTTCCGGCTTATAAACACGACCTCGACAATGGCCAAGAGCAAGTACGACTACGTGAGGGAGTTTGAATCCGAGGACTCCTGCCTACCCAACTGTTGGATTGTGGTTAGGATCGACGGCCGGAACTTCTCAAAGTTCTCAGAGGCTCATCAGTTCATAAAGCCCAATGACCTCGCTGCCCTGGAACTAATGAACCGGGCAGCCTCCACGGTTATGGAGGAGTTCAGGGAAATCGTTATCGCCTTTGGGCAAAGCGACGAGTATTCCTTCGTCTTTCGCAAAGACACGTCGCTCTTTAAGCGCAGAGGTAGGCTGGTTACATCTCTTGGGAGGTTCATTTTTACAAAAAATTATTTTTCTGAAGTAATATTGTACTTTTTATTGTAGCCTCCAAACTCATGACAAACTGTTGTTCGTTGTTCTCCTCTTCCTATGTCTACTTTTGGCCACAGTACTTTAAGAACAAGGAATTACACTATCCACCCTCGTTTGATGCCAGAGTCGTCTTGTATCCTACGGACAAAAATTTGAGGGACTATTTGGCCTGGAGACAAGCCGATGTTCACATTAATAACTTGTATAATACTTGCTTTTGGAGCCTTGTTCTTAAAAAACAAATGTCACCACAACAGGTGCTTTCAAAGTTCACCTATCAAGTAACAAAAACAGCTTTAGTAAATAAAAATATTAATGAATATTAAACTTTGCTCTAGGCTGAGGAAAGATTGAGTGGTACTTTGGCATCTCACAAAAATGAACTGCTCTTCCAAGAGATTGGTATAAATTACAACAATGAGCCAGCCATCTTCAGGAAAGGATCTACTTTGGTGCGGAAACTAGTTCCTAATGGAATGGGTCATCGAAAACCTAGCATAGTTCCTCTAGTAGATGACATCATTGGTGATAGATTTTGGAAAGAAAATCCAGAAATAATTGGCTTGAAAAGCTTAGGAACATATCAGCCCCACGTTAACAATACAACTGGTAATCCCGTACCTCAAAAACTTCCAAAACCTTTATGTCCACAAGTGCCTCTAGGTTCACAGCAGCCATTGGTTGCCCAGGGCCCTCCATATGGTCCTCAGTGTCCTAAAACTCCACTGCAAGCTAAAAATTCACTAGGAAAAGCACCCCATTCAATAAACAATAATCAAACGTCTGGGTATCATGGTGGTCCGCCTATAAAAAAAAATGCCACTGAAATGAACCAACATGATTTAGGATCAAATAAAAATGACTTAAGTCGTGTACAAGACCACTTGTAAATAGTTATCAACGATCAAGATGGAATGAACTGATATTTAATATTTTTTTTTAAATCTTCTATTTAGTACATTATGAAAAGTATATTCCCATATCAATAATTTTTAACTAGTTATTTCACGTAACATCAGATTTTTAAAGCATTTAAGATTATCATTAAGCTTTAAATAATTTATTCCAAGTATCTTCTTTAACTTGTAATTGATTTTCTTTATAAAACGAGCAGGTTTCATTAATTAAAATTATTGAATGATTGAATTATCTTTAATGTTATTTTTTGTATTTTACTATTAAATTTTTTAAAAATTTTACGTTTTAATAGTATTAATATTTTAGTAATTAATAAAAATAAGTCTTATTATATTTCACAGATGAATGTACACGGCAATGGTAAATATTACTAGTGACATTATTTCACACACAAATAATATTGACTACTAGTTAATAAGCAATACAATTTAAATTACTTATAATGTATCAAATAGCAATTGTTGAAACTGCTGGTATTTTTGTATTTGATCGTTAGCATCAATTATCTTGATAAATAATAAAACGTTTTTTTAATATTCACAATAATATATTTTCATCACTTTACATCATGTAACTATTGAAATGTACACGTATAACTTTGTCACTGTCATGACATGGAATGCAATTATCCATCGTGGTACATTTTTGTAAATTTATACATATATATTAAATTAACAATTAAAACATAATACTTGTCGAGTTTCGATAATGATCTAATTTTGAAAACAATCAAATACATTATGTACATACTATATTACTTGTATTTCAAAATGTGAAATGATATTTATGATATACATAACAAACAAATCTTTTTCCCAATAAACTTGATTGAAGGCTGTCCAAACACGTAACCACCGGTTTATCTTCATAGTTTCATTCAGTATTTAGTACATATTGAAAAGCCTAACGATTCATATGATGTGGTGGAATAAAAAAAAAAGAAAAACAAAGAGCAATTTAAAAAATTGGGATGTAATTGTCAATTTTAGCGCGATGTTTTTGAGCTACACATTCTGATATCCAAACAATGTTTCGACATTCTTGTTCTTTGAGTTTCAAGTAACTGTAAAATACGCCATAATGAAATTGCTGGAGAAAAGCGTTAACATTAAGACGAACCTGAAAGAAAAACGTGTATTGAAATAATTTCATTTTTAAATTGAGAAATTCTAAATCTTACTTCACGTTCAAAGAATTTGTCCTCCAATGTTTTATCTCCTGGATTATTTCCAGCCCCATCAAACAGAGCTGCATATTCCTATAGTTTGAATTGCACTGATCAGTAAAAAAAACTTGAGTGTAAACTTAATTAATAAACAAGTATGATTTACCGCGTAATATTCTGCAACAGCTTTAACTTGTTCATAATCATCAGCTCTAGCCAAAGCTGCGAGGCCATCAGGATTTAGACGTCCACATCGTGGATACAACTTTGCTCTATCATCTTTTCCTAATTCTGTTCCAAAGGAGTTTATAGTGATAATGATGGCTCTCCTGTCAGCTTCAAACTACGATTTTTGAGAAAATGTATAAAATTTTTTGTCCCTGAAGCATCCATTGAAAGTTGACATTTTCAAAAACTTACAGCTAAAATTTCACACATAGTATCGGCAGTTGTACCACCAATTTCCTTGCAGAAGTTGTAAAAAGCTTCCAAATAAGCTTTGTACAGTGTGTTTCTGATGATCTCAATATTCATTTCGTCTAAATCTTGTTCAGAAATACAGTCAACAAAGAAAGGGGCTAAAAAGTGCACAAAAACATAATTATGCTCAAGTAATCATCATAATCTTGCCTCCTGTACTTTGACAATGAAGTTTCATACCTAATGGTGTATCTACCAAAACAGCATTGTACAATTCAGCAGGTGTAGCTGCAACATGAATAGCTTCCATCTGTTCGAAACTGCCGAGAGGATGACACTTGGGAATCAGTTCAGATATAGGACGTTGATGCAACGTTCCGGTAATTAGCAGAATAATATTGTCAATCATGTAGCTGTAGGTAATAAAGTCTAAAAACTGCGAGAGCGGCTCCACGGAGTGATTTCTCATGTGCTGGAACTCAACAACCAGCTTTTCCCTCAGCTTGTCATCAATCACACTGACTGACAGTGGTGAGGGCTCGTTAGCCAAAAAACTGCCATAATCAGTGCCAGCCAAATGTAGCTTCAAATCTATAAATTTAAGAAAAACACATACATGACAGGCACACAAATAACCAGGATAAAAAGGATTCGGAAGTAAATACCCTCGAGAGTCTCGCACTGGACAAGATTGAGATAATCACTCTGTTGGAGGATGCCACACTTGAAGCCACGACACAGGGCCTCTAGGTAGCCACCGTCGATATTAAACATGCAGCCCTTCATCTCGAGACACTGGCTGGGCCTTTGTTAAAAATACACACACGCACCCGTACGGAGCTAAGCCACCTCGGATGCAAAAGAAACGTCTTCGGCAAGTGGCTACCCCAAATTTTTCTGATGCGTTTACTTTTGATGGCTATAATAGCAGTCAAGTCAGGAGTGTGTCGATCATATGACTTACGGCTCGCCTCTCTGAACTAGTCTACTAAGCCAACTTTTTAAAATTTTTCATCCACTCTCGATTCTCTCGAACTTCGACTCTCGACACTCCGATTTTTGTTTCGCCACTTTCGCCTATTTTCACACACGCACTAAAGATACTCCTGCACACAACAATACCTATAGGTCAATTATAATTGACTGCATTCCGCAAATGCTGCCAGTTCTGACTACTGCTACGTAGGTCGTGGTAACGCCGCATGGTCGGGCGGCGCTAGCGTCAAACTGTTGTAGAAGTAGAATTACAGTAAAAATGTAGAATATCTATTCTATACTTTGGAGGTTGATTTTCAGATAAAAGGTAAATTGTGTACTTGCCGCAAATAATACGAGCAGCTTCAACTTTTTATTTTATGTGAACAGAATTATTTGCGGCTGGTTTATAATCAATTACATGGCTCTAATGTAAGTAGTAATAGTTATTTGGATCAGCGCCATCTAGCGTTGCGGATTTCTGAACTAAAAAGTGGCCCTAAACTTTTCAGCCAAAGCTTTAGCGCTTAGAGCCATTTAGTCACTTATAAACCAGCCGCAACTTGTCTTGTAACTAAGTAACTATAAAATAAAAAAATAACGATACATGTGTTTTTGACGGCAAGTTAACAATCTATCTTTTACTCGAAAATTCATCTTCAAAAGTATAAATACATATGAGGTCAATTTTTTGGTAGAAAATAGATTGTTAACTTGCCGCCAAAAACACATGTTTCGTTATTTTTTTATTTTATAGCTACAAAATAAGTTGCGGCTGGTTTATAAGTGACTAAATGGCTCTACGAGCTAAAGCTCTGATTCAGAAGTTTAGGGCCACTTTTTAGTTCAGAAATCCGCAACGCTAGATGGCGCTGATCGAAATAATTATTACTATATACTTACAGCAGAGTCATGTAATTAATTATAAACCAGCCGCAAATAATTCTGTACACATAAAATATAAAGTTAACGCTGTCTGTATTATTTGCGGCAAGTATAAAATTTATCTTTTATCTGGAAATCGACCTCCAAAAGTATAGATATTCTACAGTACAGTTTGACGCTAGTGCCGCCCGATCATGCAGCGTTACCTGCGTTACCACGAACCACGAGTACCACGACTACGTAAACGTAACTTAAGCGGAATACAGCCTGTAAGTAGGATAATATATTTACGTAGCAAATCAGCAATGTATATGCCTACTAATCGCGTCACAATCGTCTAATTTATTCTTATCTAAGTATACTTACTATTTAGTTCTAGCTGATTGGAATTAACAAGATTAAAGAGAGACGTAGCGATGATGGCGTGAAATGTCAAATACATCGCTCTCAAGGCTCAAGTCTATAGATTAAATAGAGCTCATACATTTAAGTAGAAAAGTACTCAAGAGCGAACATCGACTAACAAACAAGCAATTCTTTGGGCCTTGAGGGCTCACTTTCTGGAATAAAAGAACAATAAGGTAAATGGGCATTGTATTATTTTGATACTTGAGTTTACAAATTAGCACATTTTAGAAGGGCACTTGGCACGAATTGCAAGCCCTAGATCTCGTCAACTCGTTGATGGTGCCTTTCTATTAGAAAAAGCGCGCGCGCTGACGCAATAATGAGAGCATTAACACGTTTCGCTTAAAAATATAACAAAGTTACCCTATGGCCCACTTTATATCTCTTTTTCTGCACTGTTGGTCGTATAATTGACACTCATTCGTCGATTAACAACTATTCAAAGAGCGCAGATGTGCGTGTATATTGTGTGCACTATAACCTCAACCGCATGAATTGTTGTTTTGGATTACTTATTTTACATTTTTAGAAATGGATGAGCCTATAACATATGGCAGGAGAAGAAGTATCGTACGTAGGATTGGCTCTGTTTTGCCCTTAAAGCCACCACCAAAGGTTTACGTCAGTGTTACGCCACTTCATTCGATGACCAATTCTATGATTGATCCAAATACCCAAGACTTCAGTAGTTCTAATGGTCTGACCATTGGAAGGTGAGTTATTATTTTGTTAATGAAAGAAATAAAATTATTTTTAATACATTGATTATTTTTGGAAAGAAAAGAATAAAACAAATTTTTGTTTTCCTATTAAAGAAGTATCTCACTGTATCAACTCAGGAGCAATTCATTAATAAAGTTAAGAAAGTTAAAGTAATATGTAAACATGAATTATCCATCTTTCATTTAAAAAGCTAGAACTTTTGATTTAAATCAAACGGTTTTCATTTTATCAAACATGCTTGATACTTCTTAGGTTGTATTACATAATTTTTGAATTGCTTGTTGCTACCTTCTGTAACTAATATGTACAATCTGCTAATTTATTGTATGTTGAACGTAGTTACGTTTTTGTGCACACAATAAATAATAATGATCAATAATTAACAATTTAGTAACGGACTGTCTCAAAACAAGCCAGATTTGCTAGAACCTATAAATTTTGGATCAGAAGTACGTTTACTCGCTTTGGAGCAAGAACTCCAAGATTTAAGAGAACAGATATCAACAATAGTAAAAACTGGAAAACAAAGCGCTTCTCGTAAGATCATGTTTTTTTTAGTATTTTACGTTTTCATAAATAAAGTTAAAAAACCATTTTTAGAGCCATGTTTGTCCAATGGTCACGATTCTGTTCGACCACCGCCTCCGCCACCTCCACTGCCACCACCAACAACACCACACATTGCCAGAAGAGCAAGCCTTCAAGATCACATGAACGATGATCGAAAAAAACCGCCATTAAACAGCCAGAAATCCATGGGAGATATTTTGAAAGACATGAATAAAGTTAAACTGAAACCAGTTGCAAAGTAATGAAACATTCCCCAGATATCAACGTGATTCATCTTAAGTTATTCATTTTGTAATCATAACATTTCTTGAAATTTTCACTCCTTAGATCTCCCAATGGTGGGCCACTCCGAGTCAAACGAGAAAACAGTCCATGTAACGATTTACAAGAAATTTTGAGAAGACGTTATCTTACTATCGCGCATTCTCCGGATAGTAGAAATTCTTCAATGCTTGATGACAGCTTTTGAATAGCTGCCGAAATCCCTCAAGTGGTAGATGTAAGTACATAAAAAAAAGTGACATTAAGGAAATGCAAAGCCAATATACGGAAATTGGAATAATTTCGACTTTCCGTTACAGTCCAAATCGTTACCGTTTTGGTGATTCAATACAAAAGCCATATATAATAATTATTGATTTAAAGATCTGTCTGTACCATATTTATCCATGCAAAAAAATGGATATTTTTATGCAAATCAAGTCATGTACAGATGAGTGCAAGCCTGAGTGTCTATAAATGTTTGAAATAGCTAATATGCCACAGATTTTAAAACAAATTATTATTTGAAAGGGGTAGAAATTTTATGTCTTGCAATTGCGGTTGACCTCAAATAGTTTTAGGTATCAAGATAATAGATATATTAATTAGGAGATATTGTAAAAGTATCATTAGATTATGCATGGCATTTTACACTTTAAGCCTGTGATAAAACATTAAGTAACTCGTGAAATCAAGATAGACACTATGATTTCTTGAAAATTGTTAAATGAATCACAAAAATACACCACTTGCTAGGTGCTATACAATTGTGCAACACGTGACACCTACATCAAATTATATTTGATGCCTAACGAAAAATAAAATTTATATTTTGTGCTAAATCTAATGTGATAAAAATTTCTTCGTTTTATTATTTTTGTCTAAAACAAGGACTACTCTCCGAAGAAATAGTATGGTGCAAAAAGTATGCAAGATACACAGCCATTGGTAAAACATACCACTTTCTGGAGACTGAGTCCTACATTTGATCTGCCATATGACAAATGTATAGGAAGTTTTATACTTAAAGCTTATATTGAATTAAAGTTTAAAAACATAAAAAAAAAAAGAAGAAAATAAGCAACTAATGTTACTGTTATCATTGTGTAAGCTGTAAAAAAATGAAAATATAAAATACTTGTACAGATTGAAAGCAGAAACGTTGATTGTTCATTTATGAAAGACACTTCCTATTTTCCTCCGAAATTAGAGCAAACAAACAAATACATAAACTTGCAAGATGTAGTTTGTGGACAAGAAATTCATTCACAGATAACCCAAGCAATTTTTGCATGTCAGGTAGCTCACGAATTTAGCATCAGCTGCTCGAAATTATTGCACCTTACAAGTATAGTGGAAAGCGTCAACTCTGAGGGTCAAATAGTACTATGAGTATGTAGAATCGGGTCAAGGTAAGCAACTTTTTTTTCTTTCTCTCTTGAAACTCAAATTGACTGTTAATACCTGTATTCTATCAGTGTGCTACAAATTTTTGGTAAGAAAGAACCCAATTGATGCATCCTTTTGTCGCAATTTTTTTTAAATTTTAGTTGCCTTCATCGTTCCAAACCAAATGTCAATGCATTTTGAGGTCTATTTATATAAAAGAAAAAAATAATTCCTGATGGATAACACGCGCACATACACACTCACATTATGTATATATGCCTGTGTAAGTGTATATATATATATATATATATATATATATATATAGTGCAATGGTCCTTTCAGTCCGTTGTCCTTCGGCGCGAATATCGAACAGTTGTAGGTAAATGTTGACCTGCATTTAAACGCTGACGTAAATCGGAGTGAAAATCATCATGTCAGCAGAACAACTTCTATACAGAAAAGTAATCAATCAATTCGAGAGAAGGTGTTCTATATGTGCTTTACTGTCTAACAGAGCAGCAACAAGTTTCGCGAAAACAAGAATTATAAGCTGCCGAGTAGCGACTAGTGTGTGTTCATTACCCTCTGGGTTTTATTTTATTTAGAGCGGTAGTTTAGCTCAAAAATTATGGTGTTTGTTTTAAACTTCATATAAATACACGAAGGAGAAAAGGAAAAGAGTCAAGTTCCACATGGAAATCAAAGCACCTAAGAGATTAATAAGGAGATTCAGTTTAATGTGTCGACATCTGATCAGATTATCATTTAAGTATACGAATCAAATATGGTACACACCAATTAAATCTACGAATATGCAGGTGTAATATAAGGGGTATAGTATAATATACACAAAAAAAAAGAACACAGTGCAATGAAGTATAGGTTATGTTTTCCTTACAGCTAATATAATATGACAGCTGCAGCGAACTAAGAGGTCTGAAATGGTGAAAAGCAAGAAAATAATTAGGAAGTTTGGTATGAAAGAAAAAAACGCGTGAGGAATTAAGTGGTGACAAAAGGAATAACCGAGATAATGCATATTTATAATTCATGGAGAGAAAAATGTAACCCTGCGTAAAGTGTGTGCATGTGCATGTTTATACATATGATATGTACCGTCTATATCCGTAAAGACCGTAAGCGTAAAGTACAGATGAATTTTTTTTTTTCAATCCGCAATCCGCGCTCGCGCCTCTCGCGCCCACAGCCCACAGCCCATCAGGCATCGGTCGTTCACCCTTTCGATTCGACGCACTACAAAGAGACCAAAGAATAGTTTTCTGCTACATAGTACTTGAACACACCGCTTGTAGTGTAATAGGTATATAGTTTTGATAATTTTATAAGTTCATCAGAAAGACGAGATGATGAACCATGAACCCTGTAAACACTAACACCACGCTGTAGTGTCATCGGAGAAAAATAAGCAATTTAAAAAATAGTTCTTGAATTTTACAAGAGATCGAGAAATGAGAGATCCGATTCATGTGATGATGAGGCACGGGGCGGCGGCGTCTCACCCGCGTCCATGTTTTTCACCATCGTAGAATTATTTTGGGTACGTATCTACCTATGTGTACTTATTTTTTATTAATTACGCATGTTTTAAAATGCGCAATGCTATCACCTGTGCCATACTCTAAATCATTTCATGACGACTATTCACTGTACTGGGCTCATATTTGTATGTCATTTAACGACTTTCCAACTATATAAGTAACCAATTATTAATAGCAAAATCTGATAATAAACTTTTTTTTTCTTCTGCCACATTTTATAATCCATTTAACTATACAAAAAACTCAGACCCTCGATCCTGTACTCTTATCACCATCTATTATAATGTACATCATTATCTATTGTATGTACATATTGTATATTATACTAAACTTATGCAGAGAGTGTGGCAAAATCAAGTACTACTACTCTGATATTTCATTTTTTTTTTTTTTTAAACGTGAAATGGAATTTAGTGATTCTGCAAATAAGGTTACTATACCAAGACTACAACGAGAATTTTTTAGAATAGTTTATATTGTTCAGATGTAGTAAAATTTATTACAGCAGATTTACCATTCATGTGCATTGGGACATAATGATTGTATTTTGGTGAATGAAAAATTGATTTTAAATTATTTGGCTCACTTACGGCAGTTTATAATGATGCTTTGTAAATTTTAATTTCTAATGACGAATTAGATGCAGCCTAAATATAACGCGCAACTTTTCATTACATTTAATATAATTTTTTAGCTCTCCCATTAAAAATTATCGGTATACGCTTTGGGGAATACAATGAACTAACTAAGTACCTGTTTTTTTTCTCTTTCGTTTAACTAAGCACTCCTCGGACAATGTTCATAATAATACTCGTCGCGGGGTCTATAGCGCGTAAGATCTATGCTGCCTTTTATATCTTTATTGGTCAAAACGTTTCCAGCCTCCGCGAGAGCTCGCGAAAATTACACATGCATCGTATGATATAGTATATGTTTTCGTCTAGCGTCAACGGATGGAAAAGCAACGGAATGGCTAAACAATCACGATGACTCTACCAAAACTTCCACTCGACATAGCAGTGCCGTCGGCAGTGCTCTGCCGGCGAGGCGGGATCAGCCTTACGGGACTATTTATTAAACTGGTAAGTGTTTTCTTTTTCTTTTATTTATTTTTACGGACTATCGCTTCGACTCCAAACAATCGATATTACTGGTGCGTATGAGTAAGGAACAAGTTAGTGGACTGTTTGGCATTTATCAAACTATGTGATTGATTCCAAGTTTTTCCCCGCAGTATGTAATAAATTTATTATAAACAAATAATGCCAATGACATTGTAGGGTACTCCGATGAACACTGACAAATATATTCGTAAAACGACAGTGTACACGTATACGATGCACACTTTGCCGGTCTCCTTTGAAAGGTGCTTCAGCGTAAAATGACGAATACTTCAGTAAGTAGGCAGCCTTCGAGAAACCAAAAGCTTGGTCTGTTACAGATATTAAAATTAACCATCCAAGATAGACATTACTCTCACATTGCCAACATTTTACAATTCTTGAGACGTAATTTGGGTATTATTACTCAAAAAAGGGGCCACGTAAATATTTGTATAAATTGTGCGTAATGGAAGTTTTAAGTAGCCGGCTTACGGGGGCGCTGATATATATGTGTGTATAATATATTGAATACTCTCATTAGCGCGAGGAATGGTTTGGAAGCTTTGAGATGACGAGGACATATTTTCTCACTTACCGTGCCGATGGTAATGTATACATGTGCATAATGGGTACGTAAGTACCAGCTGGGGTTGTAGGTGGGTGTAAAGCTATAGTGGCACCGTACTCGAAGAGATTTTTCATCATTAATTGGATTTCACATGCAACGTGCGCCCTCGAAAGAGCTATCATCTAAAAATTTTATTTTCGTTCGTTCTCGTTTATGTAAAGTTAATAACTCTATATTTTCATTTCATACGAAATAAGTACGTATGATTACGGAAAAAATGGTTTAAAAATTTTTAGTATCGTAGTTCACTGCAAAAAACGCGTTTTCATGTAAATTTTTTCGAAAACGGTAATGCGTACCAAAAAATGACTTGCACCAATCGAAAGAGCGGAAAAAATGCATTTTGTAGCACTACCTAGTACTTTTATTTTGACCTGCGTAAAATTTTGAGAGAAACAGCTGAGAAGATGATGTTGCACGAGTGTGTATATACATATACGCACATCTCAAGTCTGGTGAAGCGTCTATTTTGCAACTTCATCTTCTCAACCGTTTCTCTCAAAATTTTACGCTGGTCAAAATAAAACTATACTACTGCTACTTAATGCAGTTTTTCCCGCATTTTTTTGCAGTGAACCACGATACTAAGAATTTTTTAACCATTTTTTTCGTAATCAGCGCACTCGAAAACGTAGTACTTATATCGAAAATTCGAGGTGTAAGAAATTTCCAGACTTCGTTTCTTGGTCTAATGGGCAGAGAGTGCAGAGACCTGTACATATGTGTGTGTGCTTTTTTATGAATACACCGTAACTACAAATTACAAATTGCTGAAAAATGTAACCTAGCTATAACAGTGGCTTAAGTGGTAGAGACGCTTGCCTAGCGTCTGAAGGACTTGGGTTCGAGTCCCCGCTCCGTCACTTTTTCGCGGGTACCTCTGTGGTGTTTTCCACATGTCCGAAATGCTGTTGAGATCCTCATCAGTATGGCCGTATATTTACCCGTGCCACCTGAGAATGAGATAGTAATAACAATAGTAGCCCAATTGTCTCTGGAAGAATAATGTACTAGTTACTGTTTTTTTTTTTTTTTTTTTTTTTTTTTTTTTTTTNAGCACGTGATGTGCATACACAGATATACATTGTATGCGAAAGAGAGAGAGAGAGAGAGAGCGGAAGTTATCTTCTTTTCTAGTCACTTGTTCCCTCTCCCCTTATCTTGGATTGGACAAGGTCAAGTGTGCGTTGCAGGTGCTCTCGAATTCGCAATTCCTCGTCGTCCACTTTATATATATATTATATACCATTTTTTTTTAACTGAGCATAAAATCTTTTGTTGCACTTAAAAGTTTAACAGCTTACTTATCAGACCTACGAGTGATTAGGAAGACTTGTAAGTACATAATATTAAAACAGTTGTTTTTTTTATCCATAAGATTTTGTCCTGATGGACATGCTGGCAAAAAACTTGGAAAAGCAAAAAAAAAGATTTTTTGTCCGTGT